GGGGAAATTCACTTGTTACAGCCAGACCAACACTTAAGGGAATAATTTGAAAAACATAATAACAAAGGTACATGAATATACCAAACACATAGGCAGTAGTCTAGAATTGTAACCTTCAACCACTAAAAACCACAAATAAAAAGGAAAAAACTTGGGTTCCAACACTATGCAGCATACTGCAAGAGACACGGACATACATCTCTCCAATTCTTGCAGACTTACACCGGCTCCCGGTCAAATTTAGAATTCAATTCAAAATCCTGCTGTTTGTGTACCAGGCTTGAACTGCCCTTCACCCTCGTACTTAGCCGACCTGCTGTGTTTCTACACACCCACTCGTGCCCTTCGTTCAGCTGATCAGCTGCTGCTGATTGTTCCAAAGGTTTGCTATAAATCTCGGGGTGAGTGCCTCCTCACACGCTGCCCCTCCATGTGCGTCAGGCACCTTCCCTTTGTAGGTTTAAGTCTGCCCTCAACACACACTATAGCCTGGCTTTTCCCACATGACTGTCTTCATACTTCAGTGTGACACTTCTCTACTACCGACAGCTTGTGACATTCCTCTGTACTTTTTAGCTCACTAACGCTGCTCGGTTAGTTTTTACTTGTTTCTCTTTTATCTCTTATCTTAGTGCTTTTACTTGTTTTATGATTAGTTAACTTTTAATGTAATTTTATGCCTTGCTTTTATATGTGTTATATGTTTTAGATTCTATTTCATTTGTATTCTGTCTTTGTTGTTGTGTTTGAGTCTTTCGCTCTCCTGTACAGCACTTTGGTTAGCTACCATGCAATTTTTAAATGTGCTTTATAAATAAATTGGTGTGGTACTATGTAAATCTGGTATCGAAGGAGTATTGAACACATAATGAATAGTGCATTGGTGTTCTTGTGTACCAGGATAATGCCAGCACCAGTTAAACAGAGGAGTTATACTGTCTTATTGCAGAGGGAATGAATGACCAATGGTAGCATTCTGTTTTACATCTGGGATGTCTCAGTCTGCCACTGAAGGAGCTGTCCATGGTCTCCACAGTGGAGAATATATAAATATCTGTTTACTTTTTAACTGAGCTACAGCAGTGTTGGTGACGAATATAAAGAAAGCGGCGTCCTGACCGATCACAAGCTTGCGTTCTCCGTCTCTTTCGACGGATGTTTAAAATTTTGGGCATGTCTCCATCACCCTCTGTGAGGCCGTCGGAGAGAACTTGCGCCGGCGCATAATGGTGTTGCATGTCTCCGCACCGACACAGACGGAGAAGAAGAAATCAGGCTTCAGAACTGAACTAGCTTTGTGAACTAGCTTGTTCAGTCTCGTCTCGGTCAGAGCTGCCTGCACTCCAACAGACCACAGCAGAGTGGATAACAGATCCAACAACAGAGTGATAAAAGGATTTTAGCAGCTGGGAAGCAACTCAGAAGGACCTCAGCCTCCTCAGAAGGTGGAGGCAGCATTGGCCCTTCTTATACAGAGCTTCTGTGTTGTTGGACCGGTTCAGTTTACTGTTTAGGTGAACACCCAGGTACTTAAAGGTATCCACCACCTCTATGTATGCTCCCTGGATGTTTACCGGTGAGTGAGGAGGAGTGTTTCTCTGGAAGTCAGTCACCATTTCCTTTGTCTTACTGGTCTTCAAGTGGACGACAGGGTTATTCAATTCCGGGCTTTGAGGGCCTTTGTCCAATACGTTTTAGTGGTTTCTCTGGTCCAACACACTTAGTCACGAAAAACTTCCAGAGGCTGGTTCTTCAGAACATCGAGAAGTACCTCCCTCCCCCACTCTGCCATCTGATCACAATCTGTTTAATCTCATCCCAGAATACACACATCCAGGGTAAAATGAGAATATCTTCAGAAGAAGTCTGTAAAAGGGTGGTCTTAGGAAGCTAGTGAGAGCCTAAAGGATTGCTTCCTAACCCTGACCCACTGACTAGGAGACACTCTACTCATGGAGATGACCTTGAAAGCCTGACCCACTGTGTCACTGGTTATGTAAACTTCTGCGTAGAGAAAACTATCCCAATGCGAAGAGTGAGGTGTTTCTTGAATAACAAACCCTGGCTGATCCCTGAGCTCAAATTCCTGCTAAACAATAATAAGAAAGCTTTTATCGCTGGTGGCAACGAGCAGAGAATAGTCCAGAAGGAGCTCAGATATAAGATCAGACGGGCTAAAAACATCCACAGGAAGAAGCTGGAGAAATAGCTGGGACAGAACAATGCTCATAGTAGGGATGCTCGTTCTGATGTTGATGTCAGAAATAGGTCCAAAATTGGCTAAAAAAAAATGTATCAGATTATATCAGACTGCATCAAAACTCTCTGATATTAGCAGTCCATTCCGCTTTAAAATCCATTCCAGCAATTCTATCCAGCTGCACCAAGGTCCAGTATGCAAAGCCCATGTTATCAGAACAGTGCGTGTTACGGGAGTTGCAAGAAACAAGAGCAATGTCAGCCCTGTGGCAGTATTTCTCATTGAAGTCCGAGAAAAACATGTGTCTCAGAGCAACACTTGCCATGCACAAGTTTTACGTGGTGGAACACAGCCGGGGAAGTTTAACATGTCCAACCTCATCGGTCATTTGAAGCAGCATCACAAAACTTTGCATGAGGATTTTCGTAGTGTGTGAAATTAAAACTTAGGACACTTGTCTTGTATCAGTTGGTCAATAAACAATATTGTGTTCTTTTGTGTCCCTGCCCTCAGCTGTTCCTACCATTTGCTGAGAGTAAAAAAACAACTGAAGTGACCTTGAAATAGTACTTTGCACTTTGAAAAGATATTTATTTATTTATTTACAAAAAATATTTTTCTGGCTGTTTCAGTTTATTATTTATTCTTCTATTCATTTCTTATATATTATGTTTAAGGTTCCCATTTATGCAAACAATGGTTAATAAAATTTTTTTTTTCATACTTACTGTTGATGGCTTTTGTTCTTTGTTTAATATCACTAGATCAGGTCTTTCAGACATCTCACACCATGAAATAGGTGAAAGTACGTATTGAATCAGATCAATGTCGGTCAGTACTGAAGGCTGCAATATCGGTATCGTATCGGAAGTGAAAAAGTTGTATTTTGACATCTGTAGCTCAAGGTGCATGGAGTGGTCTCAGAAACATCACAGAGTGGGAAGTGGTGCCAATGGGACAGTTGATGGGGACTAGAACTGGGCCAACAAGCTTAACCTGTTCTTTCACAGATTTGACTCCAACCCCCCTACAGCTGCAACAGGTACTAGCATCAGCACCACCCCCCAACCACCTTTCGCTCAGCCAGCCAATTTCTTCCACCTCCAAATTTCACATCATTCAACAGCTTCTCTCCCAACCTCCAATCCTCCCCAGCACAATGACGAACATCTGACTGCATGGACCATAAACTACCTCACCAACAGGCCACAGTACGTGAGGCTGCACAACTGTAATTCTTAGGTGGTTGTAGGCTGTACTGGAGCTCCACGGGGTACGGTGCTCTCATCCTAACCCTAACCCTAACTTACTACACCTTAGACTTCACATATAACACCAGCAGCTGTCATCTACAGAAGTTCTCTGATGACTCGGCCATTGTTGATTGTGTGTCTGCAGGGAATGACCAGGAGTACAGGTTAGTCATCAAGGACTTTGTTGACTGGTGTGAGCATAACCAGCTTCGCTTGAACACCAGTAAGACAAAGGAAATGGTGACTGACTTCCAGAGAAACACTCCCCAGTAAACATCCAGAGTGCAGACATTGAGGTAGAGAGAGCAGTTTGAAGGATGGATCAGGATCCAGTAGTTAAAGGCACAGTTGTTGTTACTGGTAAATGGCCTGTATTTGTATAGCACCTTCTTAGGGTTCTACAACCCCCCAAGGTGCTTCACAACACACTCAATCATCCACCCATTCACATACACATACGCACGCTGGTGATGATGAGCTACAATGTAGCCACAGCTGCTCTGGGGAGCAGTGATGGAAGCAAGACTGCCACCGGTCCCCCCAACCACCACCAGCAGGTAAGGTGGGTGCCTTGCCCAAGGACACAACATGTTTGCAAAAAACATTTATGCAAGCAATTTACATATTGAAAAAAAAAACACAATTCAAAAGGTTCAACCCCCTCCTAGAGTCACAGAATGTGATGGTATGACATTGGTTTGTGACAGACACACACACACAAGCATCGCAGCGCTGCTGACAGGGCTGGCCAAGCTGCTATTCATTAAAAAACTTCCATAACCAATTTTGAACCAAAACTCCCGTAGCTTCACTTCCTGTTTGGCTGCCCTGCCAGAAATGCAAGATAGAGAAGCAGTTTAGTTGATGGGTTATCATCCAATCATGTATAAAGGGAATGTGCACTATGAATGAAGTTTTTCCAGGATAGTACATTTCAGAGGTGATTAAAATAATTCATTTTGACTAAACATTTTATTTATTAGTCGCTATCAGTATGTGAAGAGCATTTCAAGCAATGCAGCAAAACATGCTTCAGAAATACATCTCAGACTACACCTTAAATAAGACATTGACAAGGTGATAAGGTGCACAAAGGATCATTATTGGAGACCCTTTTATCCCAGCTGCTGTTAGGATTTACAACCACCACTGTTCCTAACAAAACCAGTGAATAATCTCTTGCATCCATTCCTGCTGCCGTTGTGATTTGAACCGTTTGTTACTCTGTAGTTAAACCTGAAATCCATATGCATTATTTTATGCATTATTTTAACAGAGTATTTGAAATGCACTGTTGTCACAATGCACTATTCACCTTTTCGTAAAACAAAACTCTAAATTTCAAGGCTAACTCATCATTTATGCAGCATAGTATGTAAGTTAGGTTATTTTCAGAAATAATAATGTAATCCTTTAAAAAGTGAAAAAACAGACTGTTATTTAATCGTAGATGAAGATCAAACAGTCTACTCTAACAGACCGCATGTGAAGCTGTGCTTTGGGTGATCAGATCAGCCCTCCCTAATATGGCGACGGAATCTACGTAGGAACAGTTAGCAGTGCGCAGTTTACGTATCTATGCGGAAAACATCCAGGACCAAAGAGCTTCGGCGTGAGGCCGGGAGCCGGTGAGAAGGATACCCGTGATGGCTTCGCGTTTGATCGGTCGCTTTTCGGCTTTTGTTTCTCTCCTCCTTGCCGGCTGACCGTCTCGTCACGGCGGTAACGGAGGGAAGCTAGCGGTTCTGAGGGTAAGCATCAGCACAAATCTGGACATCTGGAGACGCATTTCCATCACAGTAGGTGGACGGAACCAAAACGCTACAAATGAAGAGCAGCGAGCCCACACAGTCCGCCACGTTCCGGTCAATTACGCTAACAATTGAGCTCTAAAACGTTAAATACATCCATAATCGCTTAACAACATGGTGCGGTATATTTCCTGAAGACACACAGGTGTCCAAACAGCCCGTCCCACTACCTGTAGCTCAGTTGGCCTGGCTGGAGGACAGCAGCTCCAAAGAGGAAACTTGTTTATCAATTTTGTTTACACTTGTAAAGGCATATAATTATATTTCGTTTATTTTCTAATCTTCTGAGCTGTTTTTTATTATATTCATCTTCACCTCAGGGTTCTGTTGGTTCAGATCTAGTGTTGGTCTCCTTCAACAGAATCATGAAACTAGTTCGATGCCTCCCTCATGATCTATTCAACTATATTAAACCTCATTGGTACACTTGGAATTTTTAACTAAAGCTAGTTACAATTTTCGATGTACCAATATGTTTTTGGACATATGATGGTCCAGTCTTTTGTAATTTGTGGTAAAACCTTTAGAGGGAGACGAGGGGTCTGAGATTCCCACTGTCAGAGAGCATTTAAACAGAACTTCAGGAAATCACATTGTATGGTTTTTAACCCTCCCACTGTCTTCATGGGTGACCCTGCCAGGAAAGTTGACCATTGAGCAGGATTGATGGTTTATCCCTTGAGGTCCACATGGCAGGGGTGAGGTGGTGCTCACTCCTCACCTCTGCCACGTGGACCTCAAGGGATAAACCATCAATCCTGCTCAGTGGTCAACTTTCCTGGTGGGATCACCCATGAAGACTGGGAGGGTTAAATAATTTTTTGTATTGCACTGCTGTACATACGTATTTGAACACCTGAGAAAATCAGTGTTACATTTGGTATAGAAGCCTTTGCGATTACGAAGGTCAAACCTTTCCTGTAGTTCTTAACCAGGTTTGCACACACTGCAACAGTGATTTGGGCCCACAGCTCCACACAGATGTCACTGAGCAACATGGAGTTTCAACTCCCTCCGAAGATTTTGTATTAGATTTAGGTCTGGAGACTGGCTAGGCCACTCCAGAACCTTGACATGTTCTTACAGAGCCACTCCTTTTGTCATCCTGGCTGTGTGCTTTGGGTCATTGTCATGTTGGAAGACCCAGACATGACTAATGTCCAATGCTCTGACAGAGGGGAGGAGGTTGTTGCTTAAAATCTCACAATACATGTTCCCATTCATCCTCCCCTTAATACAGGGCAGTCATCATGTCCCCTTCACAAATTAACACCCCAAAGCATGATGTTTCCACCCCCATGCTTCACAGTAGGGATGATGTTGTTGGGATGCAACGCATCCTTTTTTCATCTAACACAGCTAATGGAGTTTAGACCAAACTTCTCTTTTGGTCTCCTCTAACCACATGGCGTCCTCCCATTCCTCCTCTGGATCATTCAGATGGTCATTAGCAAATTTCAGCTGGGTCTAGACATGTGATGACCTGAGCAGAGGAACCTTCCGTGGTCACCGTTCTTGCATTAAGCCCCCATCTGAAGGAGACTGACAGCCATCTTTAGCCTCTTCCATTTTCAAACAATCGCTCCAACAGTTGATCTATTTTCACCAAGCCGCTTGGAAATTACCCCGTAGCCCTTTGCAGCCTTATGGAGGTCTACAATTTTGTCTCTGGTGTCTTTTGACAGCTCTTGGGTCTTGCCCACAGTAGTTGGAGGCTGTGGGGTGGACAGGTGTCTTTAAAGATCTCAGAAAGGTGCTACTAATTTAGATTAATAATTGGAGTAGAGGTGGACTTTTAAAGGTGGAATAACAGGTATTTGACAGACAGAATTCTTGCTGATTGCCAGGTGTTCAGATACTTAAGTACAACAGTGCAATACAGATAAATTCTTTAAAAATCATGCTATGTAATTTTTTGAATTTAGTTAAATACTGTCTCTCATAGTGGGAATGCACTACGATGTGAATTTCAGACCCCTCCTAAGCAAGAGAACTTGCAAAATCGCAGGGTGTTCAAATACTTATGTTGTTCAATGTATGATGTAAGCCAGAGGTTCGCATCATGGGGTTCCCTATATTTTGTCTGTGCTGAGGTTATCAAGATAATATTTCAAAAACGTACATGTAAAAAATCCCAGTAACACTCAGTAGTAAAATCAAAACTCCGTACAAAAGTTATAACATTGTATGTTTTTATAAAGTTTGTTATTAATAATTTTAATGTTTGTAGCCAATAGTGGCCTCTAGGGAGCCTAATTTCCATTGGTGCTCCTCAAAATTAAACTATTTGAGTAAGTCTCTTTATGGCCCAAACACATTTTATGTATACCATTATCAGTGTTGGGGAGTAACTCAATACACGTATTTAGACTACTAAAGATGATTAAATGTATTCAGATACATTTACTATTTGTATACATGGTATTTAGAATACAGTTACTTTCGTAATACCATTAGAATACTTCAGTGTTTTCCTCTTTCCACTCAAAAGATGAATAAATACTTTTCGGACAATGCAATTCTGCATTGTGTAGGCTATCTATCCCATAATGCCCCTAAACAATGTGCCTCTGTAACCATAGTAACGCTATGGCTGAAAACATGAGAAGGCTACACCCCCGACTAGCAAGCGCCAGCCTTAACATGAGTGGCCACTGGCCCGGTATGGATTCAGACTTGGAGATGGAGTGGGCGGAGCCACAACCGCAGACAAATCAACCTACTAAAAATACATTCACTTCCTGGAAAATCAAGCAATTTTTCTAAAATTCATTGTGCTACTTCTTACTTTTCATTTGCATTTGCCATGATTATTGAACTCTCCAGGAATAATTTGTATCATTATTGAGTCATTTGCAACCAAAGTGCTACTAGTTCCCATTCACTCCATTTTTTTGTGCTAGGCAAAAGCTAACGGACTGCTGCCGCATCAGGAGAATTACTGCGCTGGTTACAAAATGCTTTTATCTCACTTATCTAACTCTGGGGAATATGGTAATAGACACATTCTCACTTTGGGGTGGAATATCCCTTTAAAGTAAGTTATTTTTATAGCCTGCATCCTCTAGAAAGACACAGTTTATAAAAAGTATTTATCTATTTTGCTTTCTTAGTGCTTTATTCACCAGTGCCTGTATGGTGTTAAAGACCGTAATGCTGTGCTATATTCATCCACTTTGTCACTTCATTACACAGAATCTGCTGACATTTTTATATATAATGTAACAGAAATAATTAAATTGTTTTATTTCCTAGTCAGTTCATTTTGTTTATCATAAACATGTCGTCTGTTTTCCTTTGGGAGTAGCTACCAACGTGCATTGTGGTATTTAATAGACTTAAATGCTGATTTTTAGGTGTTTATTTAGAATACAGTACCAGGATTAAGTAAAGTAACGGAATACGTTACAAAATACATTTTAAATCTAGTGATGGTGAGATGAAGCCTCATGATGAGCTGAAGCTTTCCATCCAACTGGTCGACTCTTGATTCGAGACACCGTGATTATTCATCTGCTCTATTGCGCCACCAAGTGGACGATTCAACAAAAACTATAAACCTTTAAACTGAAAAAAAAAAAAAAAATTCATGATGGTAATATATTCTTCACAAAAAATCTTCATGGATAACCAACACACGCCTGCAACCCCCAACCCCCGGTCCGACAGACGAGCTGGATGGCTAGCAGGTGTGCAGTACTGTTTTGTTATATTGTATCAGCACTCCTGGTCCGACAATTCAGCAGCACCCCCACCTGCTGGACCGGACCTCTTGCTTCTAGGTTGTATCGATGAGTGGCCCTCGGACCATTCTATTTTCATAACCCTGCAGTAGTCTGTAACTAAATACATTTACGTAGCATTCTCCCCAACACTGACCGTCACACAGTGAAGACATGCATCTAGATATCAAATAGCTACTTTAATCTGAAACATTTCAGCTAATTAGTTCAGTGTTAATGTCTTTCAAAGTTCAGTACTAAAACCTTAATGACTGCTTTAGACCCAAGTCTCAATTCAACATTTGTATGATCATGAAATTCTGTAGAGCTTTTTTAACGAATGCATAACCTTTTGTCTTTTATTTATCAAACATAAGGTGATGCAACCATGAAGTTTCACAATGGAAGATGCTGTCCAGCTCAGAGGACTGACAAAGTCAGAAGAAGCACTGCTAACACGAAAGACCCAGAGCTCTAGGAGAGAACTGCTTGGATGTGTTTTGGTTCTGTGGACTTTACAGAATCATGTGCGGAAAGCAGGAAACGGACAGAGTTTGAGTCTTTTGAGTGTAGGATGTGCCTACAGCAGCGCACCAATCAGCAGTATCGGACCGAGTGCATGTGGGTGCAGTGATGTGAGAACACATCTCTCTGATGTCCAGATCCTGACATTCAGAACCCAGCTGTGATTCAGAACTCGGCTGTCGGTTTCAGTAGGAAAACAGGGGCTACTCACCAAAGCTGATGTCCACTCTGCACAGCAACGCACATCTTCACTTTTTTGACCAAAAGACAGAAAATTGAGACTCTTGTCTTCATCATGCCAAGGAACCAAGCTTTTGCTGAACCAGAGTATTCTGCAGAGTACTCGGCAGACTGCTCTGTGACCCTGCCCTCTGACCCTGGACAAGCTGTAGGGCGAACACACGAGGTCACGGTAAGAAGCTCTGGATGTTGCCTTTGCCTTCCACGCTTTTTGCGCCTCACGTTTGCTCCAGAGTCTTTAGAGAGTCTCTACCAAACATACTTCAGACGACAGAGACATGAAACGCTGCTGGTGCTCGTTGTGTTTGCTGCCCTTTTCAACAGCTACGTCCTCTTCTCCTGTGTGATGGTCTACAGCTCTGACAGGCTCGCCAGTGTTTTGGTGGCATCAGCGGGACTCACCGGTGACATTATTCTCTACCTACTGTGCCGCTTTGGGCTGCTTCCAGACCGCATCTCGAGACGGGTTGTGCCATATGCTCTCTGGGTGCTCATAGCAGCTCAGATATTTTGCTACCTGGGTCTGAACTTTGCTCGCTTTCACCAGGCCAGTGACACAGTAGGCTGGCAGGCTTTTTTCAGTTTTTCCTTTTTCCTTACACTACCTTTGAGACTGACGCCCATTGTGCTCATCACCACTGTTTCCTGTGGGGTCCATACCCTGGTTTTAGGGGTCACCATTGCCCAGCAGCAGCAACAGCAGAATGAGGACATTCAAGGGGCAGCCCTTGCCAGACAGGTAAAACTGAGAAGCAAGTGATGTGGCAGAGAAGGTTCATATTAGTCTTTAGTCCATTTAAGTAATATTACACTAATAGACATTCAAAATTTCCAAGTCTCTGTTTCTTTTTTCAAATCAACATCCTGTCACTCACTATGGTATTTTTCATGTTTGACACTAGTTCTAGTAGAATAGCTCCATCTCTTGGTTCACTGTGGATGTCACCCTTTAACTGAGACACATCAGCTAGTCTCGGCCACTTTGAAACCGTGTAATACAATGCATGCTTAATGGGAAAATCTTCAAATGATCTGCATCAGTCGCGGAAAGGAAATAGGTGGGGAAACGAAATGTCACAGGGGAAAATGAGTATTTATGGTCCCGCTCACCTTGGTTGAAATGGTGGAAGGCTGTGCTGATTTTGTGGCCAAGAGAGTGCAGTATGTCTTGTCTAGTAGAAATTAACCATTAGCAACTCCACAGCCTGGTGCAACACATTTAGGCTTGTGGTATTTGTGGAGATAATACATAAACTTTGCATTTTACTAAAAAATGAAGAGTGAATGAAGGCAGCGGAATAATTGCATTGCTGCCAGTCAGAGGCAAGATGTTTGCATATCATCAGTATTGATGAGTACAGGGTTTCTGTAGGGTAGTAAAAGGTAATTAAGACCCTTGAATGGTAATTAATAACAAATACAAAAATTACTTGGTTGTAAAATGTTTTTTTAGACCTCTGATATATTTAAAAAATATATTATTTCAGATTTTTTGTTTTAAGTTAATTTTACAAAAAGAAATCCGCATATGGGCGGGAAGGACCAGCAGCGTTGATGGGATTGGTTTCATTGTCTGATCTGTTGTTTGCATGTACAATGCTTGACTTTTCGTCTCACGATGGGAAAATAAAATTTTCCCAATTTTGGCTCAATGACTCAGCATTTAAAGACTGGCTTAAGCTGTCATGGACAGGGATGGACTGGCTCTCTGGTGTACTGGCCATTTGCCCGATGGGCTGACGTACTATTTGGGTCCACCAAACTCAAGAGGCTCCATGAGTTGATGGGAACAGGTAAAACAGGGATAAGGTAAATGGTGAAAGAAGAGCTGTTTTGTGGGAACTTTAAAAAGTGAGCACAGACTTGGAAATGCTAAGTGGTAAGAACATTTTTTTATTTAAATATATTTCGACAGAAACTTTTCGCCTGACTTATTACTTTAAATATGTTTCCATAAAAAACATTTGTTCTCTAATTTATGAGGTAATTAAATAATAATCGCTGCTATTTTCCGACTCCCGAGTACACCGCTATGTTGGCTTCCTGTTTACTAAATGTGAGCACAGTCTAAAACAGTCATGTGAGAGCCGCTTTACTACTTTCTCATTACGCTCAAAAGAAAGTAGTCCTACATTCAAACGTTGATTAGAATAAAAAGCAGGTCTACTTTAGAAGAAGAAAGTCCATCCATCCATCCATGTTCATCCGCTTATCCGGAGTCGGGTCGCGGGGACAATAGCCTAAGTTGAGAGGCCCAGGCTTCCCTCTCCCCAGCCACTTGGGCCAGCTCCTCTGGGGGAATCCCAAGGCGTTCCCTGGCCATTTGAGAGACATAGTCCCTCCAACGTGTCCTGGATCTACCTTTAGGCTTCCTCCTGGTTGGACGTGCCCGTAAAACCTCACCAGGGAGGTGTCCAGGAGGCATCCTGACCAGATACCCGAGCCACCTCAACTGGCTCTTCTCGATGTGGAGAAGCAGCTGGTCTACTCTGAGCCCCTCCCAGATAACCGAGCTTTTCACCCTATCTCTAAGGGAGAGCCCAGCCACTCTTTGGAAAAAACTCATTTCGGCCGCTTGTATCCGTGATCTCGTTCTTTCGGTCACTACCCAAAACTCATGACCATAGGTGAGGGTAGGAACGTAGATCGACCGGTAATTCGAGAGCGTCGCCTTCTGACTCAGCTCTCTCATCACCACGACAGACCGGTACAACGCCCGCATCACTGCAGATGCAGCACCAATCCGACTATCGATCTCATGCTCCAGTTTTCCCTCACTCGTGAACAAGACCCAGAGATACTTAAACTCCTCCACTTGGGGCAGGACCTCATCCCTGACCCAGAGAAGACATTCTACCCTTTTCCGAATCAAGACCATGGTCTCAGATTTAGAGGAGCTGATTCTCATCCCAGCTGCTTCACACTCAGCTGTGAACTGCTCCAGCAAAAGCTGAAGATCATGTTCTGATGAAGCCAACAGGTACACATCATCTGCAAAAAGCAGAGACCTGATCCTCAGGCCACCAAAATTGATGCCCTCCACACATTGGCTGTGCCTAGAAATCCTGTCCATAAAGGTTATGAACAGAATCAGAGAAGAAGAAGAAGTTAATTTTTTTAAATCAGCATGAATGTACTATTTTTATGAAACAAACAGCTCGTGGCCACAAGAGGTGGGAATGAGATGAAAAGAAAATGGAATACATAGAGGCGACATTGGATGCTTGAGTGTAACCAGTTCAATGCCATATTGCATGGGTTCCTCACCCTCCAGAACCTAATCGGAGTCAACGCTGAGTGGGCAACTATGCCTGTTTTTGTGCAGTCTACGGTTCCAACAACCGGCGTACTATTGAAAACAGATTATGTGGGATTACTACATACTATATTGTGTACAACATACACAAACAGTAACCATCATTAAACTAGTATAATCACTGTTGAATCATTGTTACCGCAGCAACTAAAAATAACCGGAGTCGAGCATGTCTTCTTCTAAGTTTTCCTAGAGGTACGTAGAGCACACGTCACCCCTCTGTTCATTGAGCTCCACTGGCTACCGCTAGCAGCATGCATCAAATTCAAATTGTTAACACTAGCATACAAAGTCCGAGATGGTATGGCTCCCATCTACCTGAATCCTCTTGCAAAGGCTTACGTCTCGGCCCGGCCGCTCCGGTCATCACAGGATCGTCGGCTAGCAGTGCCTACACCACTCTCAGGACAATCCAGACTCTTCTCATGCATCGTTCCACAAATGTGGAATGACCTACCAAGCACTACCAGAACAGCGGCTTCCTTTTCAATTTTCAAGAAACTCCTGAAGACCCTGCTCTTCAGAGAGCATTTTCTTAACTAGCACCTTCCCTGCACCCGTCCCCCCTCTCTACCGTCCACTCCTTTGTTCCCTCCTCTCCATGATTGATGTCAATTTGTTGTTGTTACTATTGTTGTTAGCCTCAAGGGCAACATGCCGATTATCACTTGTAAGTCGCTTTGGACAAAAGCGTCTGCTAAATACATAAACATAAACAAACATAATGGAGTCACACGACTCAAAAACCACACATTTTTTTACGGAACCCTGCCCACTTCCCTTGTTTTAGTTTTTTTAAACACCTACTAGATATCTGAAAACCTGGAAGGATAACAAAGTAACTTTTTGACCTTAGATTATGTTTTTCCTCCCATTTTAAAGAACATTAAAAAAGCACTTTAATTTCTGAAAATATCCATTGAAATGTTGTTGAAAATTGATTAAATTATTCCCAGTTGTTGAAAAATATTGGCGGTGTTTCTCAATGCCAAGGAACCTTGCCTTGATGTCTTGGTCCCACCCCGGTTGCCTAGGAGATACGTAATCAGGAACCGCCAAGGCGTGTTCCAATATTCGTATTCTACCGATGGTCCCTGGCCTCGCAAGGCGATGTCTTGCGAGGCCAGGGACCTTGACTTTGAGAAACACCCCAAGTCTCTGGGCAATGCCATATAGATGCCATGTTTCCCTCTACAGGAGCCCGTGAGGACAAAATGGATTTACTGATTTGTAACAAATGGTTACAAAACTTTCATCATTCATAAACGTTGTTTTACACATTTACATTTATGTGCTTGTCATTTTGCTGGAAGTTGAGCTCCCAGGGAGTTTTGATCCAAATGGTCATCCATTGGAAAGGTCTTACTCGAATAAAAGAATACTGCTTGCTTGCAATGATTTGTTTTGCCCCCACATCACCAGGGAAAATACACATTGTCACTTTAAATATAGCTTCTTTAAGAATAAGTGTATTCGATATCAGTGAAAATTTTAGCAGCTTTCAAAGAAAAAAAACAAAACGATAAGAGACCTTGTCTATGCTTGGAGATCAGTCACTTTTTTAATGGAATTACTGAAATAAACCAACTTTGTCATAATATTCAAATTTTATGACCAACACCTGTATTCATTGCTATTGGTCTGTCATCACCTACATCTATGCCCCATTACTCATCTGGTAACTCTAGGTGACTGGGCCTTTTCTTTCTTCAACCCCAAACCATGGGGAAAATAATTAGCCTCCATTAGGAAGGCTTCCTAAAATAAGACATTTCAAAAAACTTCCCATTCGTGATGTTACAGTAAGGTAACTGGAGGAGCAGCAGCTCTATTGCAAGCTCCTCCTGGAGGTAGGACCTTCTCAGCTGCTGAGTGATGGATGGTTATGTTTTGCCAGCAACAGCCTACTTTCTTTAAAGGGACAGAGCCCGGAAATGGCTCATTCGGTCAAGAATAAAGCTGCCGAAATCATTTATGTGAGGTATTTTGTGAAAAGAAGTTTATAAACATGTTTTCTATGGAACATATAATAAAACTTCAAAAATGTCCTCTTTGTATCTTTAAAACAGTTTACTTTCAGGATTATGAATTTTTGTAATCCTAGCTCCTTATTCTACAAAGATATTTGTTCATGCTTGCAAGCTCTGTTTCTGTGCAAAATTTGATTCATTATTTAAAAAATTGTAACTTTCTTTTTTAATTTTTGTTTTTGTTTTGTTTTGTTTTTGTTTTCAAGCTATTGGCCAATCTTGTGATCTACATTTGTGCCATTACTGTGGGAGTCATGTCATACTACATGGCTGACCGGAAACATCGGAAGGCCTTCCTGGAGGCAAGACAGTCATTAGAGGTGAAACTTAACCTTGAAGAGCAGAGCCAGCAGCAGGTCAGAGAACCTTCAGTACATCCTTCTGTTACATATAGAAAGTGAAAGAATGTTTGCTTTTGGGTAGAATGCAGTGAGAGACATAAGTATGTAAACATCCCATAATTTGCAAGTCTCACACTTAGAAATCATTGCGGTTTCTGAAATTCACATTGTAGGAGTGTTCCCACTGTGAGAGATAATATTTAAAAATGATTCAGGGAATTGCATTGTATCACTTTTAAACAATGTATCTGTATTGCACTGCTGCACATACTTATTTGAACACCTGGCAATCAGCAAGATTTCTGGCTCTCTATGTCCTGTTACTCTACCTTTTATAAAGTCCACCTCTACTCCACTTATTAATCTAAATTAGTAGCACCTGTCTGAGATTGTTAAGGATATGTGTCCACCCCACTGTCAGTCAGACTTTAACTACTACCATGGGCAAGACCAAAGAGCCGTCAAAGACTAAATTGTGAACCTCCATAAGGCAGCAAAGGGCTACGGGGCAATTGCCAAGCAGCTTGGTGAAAATAGATCAACAGTTGGAGTGATTGTTAGAAAGTTGAAGAGGCTAAAGATGATTGTCAGTCTCCCTCGAACACCGGCTTCATGTAAGATCTCACCTAGTGGGTTTTCACTGATTACAAGAAAGGTGAGGAATCAGCCCAGAACTACTTAAGAGGAGCTGCTCATTGACATGAAGAGAGCTGGGACCACAGTTTCAAACGTCACGGTCGTATGAGTGCTAGGGCGTCATGGTTTAGAATCATGAACAGGTCCAACCCGGTCTTACTGTGAGACCGGGTTGACGGGTCACGCTTGTGCGTAATCATACAGTATGCGCTGTCTGAGCTGAAGAGGATTTGAGATTCTGGGCTTCTCAGACGGCACAGAAGGTTCCCCTGCTCAAGTCATCACATGTCCAGGCCCATCTGAAGTTTGCCAATGACCATCTGGAGCATCCAGAGGAGGCATGGAAGAAAGTCATGTGGTGGGATAGAGGATGAGTTTCATCTCAGGAACACCATCCCTACTGTGACTGGGGGTGGAGACATCATGTTTGAGGGTGCTTATCTGCCAACAGGACAGGACGACTTCCCTCAGTCAGAGCATTGAAGAGGGGTCGTGGCTGGGTCTTCCATCAGAACAAAGACCCAAAGCACACAGCCAGGATGACCATGGAGTGGCTCTGTAAGAACATATCAAGGTTCTGGAGTCTAGCCAGTTTCCAGACCTAAATCCAATCAAAAAATCTGTAGAGGGAGCTGAAATTCGGTGTTGCCCAGCAACAGCCTCGAAACCTAACAGATTGTGATCTATGTGGGCCAAAATCCCCATTGCAGTTTGTGCAACCCTAGTTAAGAACTAAAGAAAACATTTGACCCTTCTTAATTGTAAATAAAGGCTTCTGTACAAAACACTGATTTTCTCAGGTGTTCAAATACTTCTGTTACGTACTGTATGGTGCATGCCAATGTTTCCCAGCTTAAGCTTGGTTTATGCTTGACGCATTCACTTTCCGCTTGGTGATGCGGCTCGCGGGTGGAACGCGCTTCACAACTTGCAGCGTTTATGGTTCATGCGGCTTGTCTCTGCGGTGAGCCAATATTCTCCCAAACTGAACGGGGCAGCATGGAGCTCTACGGCAAACATCCAACACTACACCATAGTAGAAGTAGAAATTGCTGTTGTTTACAACATGGCATTCCAGCAGTTTTTAACAGCGTCCTCGTCTTTTCCGACAATGCGAGCTATTTCTCTCCAAGAATTATTAACAACATGTTGATCACGTTGATCTCTTAGAGCTGAATCATACAAATGTCTGTATTTACGAACCTCTGCCATACTAGTTCTTGCTGGTCCGCCATGTTTTTCCACGTCCGACCGTCTGCGTGGTTAGAAAATTTCCTAGGTGCGCGTTGCGGAAATTTTGGGCCGTGCGGAGGCGCGTGGTTGTTAAAATGACGCAAAATGACTTAACTTTTCCGCGCGGAGCCATGCGGACCTCGCGGACACGTCAAGCATAAACCAACCTTTAGTGTTTACTGCACTGAACCTTCGTAACTCTTAAATGTCCAAAAAACAAACTTCAACTAAGGAAAAGATGAGGAACACTAACTAGTTAGTGTTCCACTTCCAGTTGGATGACTGGAGAGTGATCTAGGTAGATGGAGGATCGTGAGAAGGAAAGAATGAACTGGCTGAGAAGTGAAAGGGTTAACCAATCCTCTAATACAGGAAGCCCCGCTGTCACGTCTTGTTGCTCGCTGGCCGTGATTCACTTAGATCTAAACATCCGCCCCTTTAACCGCCGGTCAGATGATGACCACTTCATCACACCTTGCTGCTGAATTATAGTTATGCATCTGCAACGGACAAAGTATTTAATTTGATTGCATGCTACTAAACAAATTCTGTTATTAACAGCGTTTATTTTAACACTGTTGTTCCCATCACTGTTACCGAGTCTTTTTTTCAAAATTTTGTAATGTGTTTTTACTTTTCTGATCTTGTGTTTTATATAACTATGTCCTAAAATGCACCTATAACATTTGCATTAGTGTTGTTGTTATTCAGTGTAACATGAATGAAAAGAATGCTCAATAGTTGTTGTTGTGTCCTTTGTGTTTCTGTCCACAAAAGGAGCGTCTTCTGCTTTCCATTCTGCCAAAACACATAGCAGATGAGATGCTTCAGGATATGAAGAAGGAGCCCAGTCAGAAAGAGATGCAGCAGTTCAACACCATGTACATGTACAGACATGAAAATGTCAGGTAAAGATGTGTGATCAGAGTTAGCTTGTTGGCAGCAACGCGCCTCAAAACACGGTTTCATCTGAGAAGGTTTTAAAGAATCTACTGCAAACTATGATTTACCGCAAGTCTTCTTCTTATGAATAGATAGATGCTTAAGTCATTAAATTTGTAAGTTGAGTTTGAATTTCTTTGTGTTAATGTTTATTATGTGACTGACATGCAGCTGCAGTGCAGTTTCCAGTAGTTACACATTTAACACAAGACATCAAGTTTACAGACCAACAATATCTGGACAGCTACTGAGTTTGAAGATCATTTTAGTAAAATATGTCGGAGCGTTATCAACAAAACAAGAATAAACTTCTTAACGTCATCCTTATCAAGCCAAACAGGACAGAAAATTTGTAAAAGAAAATTTTGTTGACACAAATTTTGTAAACATTTTGAACAATTGTGTAAAACGTATAAAGTGATTTGTTTCCCCAAATATCAAAGACAGTTTCTTTACACTCCACTGAGATATCTATGGGAACTAAATACCTTTCCGTACCCATCTAGGAGAAAAGCATTAAGTTTGGAGGGATTATTGGAAGAATTGAGGATGTTTTTTTTTGCTCTTGACAAGAATCTCAAAGTCCAGAGTGATAGTGTACAAAGTAAATCTTTGATCATGCTCAATGTCTACTCTGCTTTTTAAAACATTTGGCCCTGGCAAAGGTGTGCGACCTATTTAAAACAGCACAATTCACTTTTGGGACAGGACCCACTAGTTGAGAATCACTGCTTAAAAGGTGTTGTAGTCTTAAGCCTGATTTATGCTTCTCCGTCTGCGTCAGTGCGGAGCACACGCAACTCCATTATCCGTCCTTGCGTAGGGCTCCGGCAGGCACGCAAGTACGTACGGAGTCGAGCCCACTTTTTTAAACATCCGTCGAACGAAACGGATTACGCAAGCTTGTGATTGGTCAGGACGCCGCTGTTGTTTACAGCGCCGCCATTGCAAAGAGAGCCGAGTTTAACTAGTGGCAGACACGGAGAAGCATGAAGAATGCCTTGCGAAAAAACTCTAAAAATATGAACATTTCATCCTCCCGTGACTGGAGGAGTGAAAAGATGCGCAGCAAGCGTTTTATTTGTGGATGGAAATGACAGGAAACGTGGGTTTAGAGGTGGGGAGCGCATGAAGCGGTGGGAGAATGAGAGACAAATATGTCCGTGTTAAAAGTCTCTTATATACACAAAAACACAATATAAACACACAATCTTGGATCGGATACATGACATGATACCACAGAACAGCGCTACGCCCTCTGTTGTCCTGCCGGGCAATTGCTTTGCAACACTCTCCAGGAGACGGAGAAGTATGAGAGCAAAACGCTTCCGTCAATCCGTGCGTGTCTGTCCCTTGCGGAGCTGACGGAGAAGCATAAACCAGGCTTAAGTGTCCAGGAAACAGCAGATAATGGCTAGTAGAAGCTAACCATTAGCATTAGCAACTCCGCCACACATCAAAGTTAGCTCCTTCAGGCTTGTGTTATTTGTGGTGATAAAAAATCAATGTCGCAAAGAAAATGGAGTCAGTGGTAGAGTTATGTTGCTGTTAAATATCAAATATCAGGATATAAGACTCTTGCTGTCTGAAGTCTCAACTGTGATGTTGCTCATTTTAGTCCCTGAAACTGGTGCACCGGTGTATTTTTTCTTAGAGTACGACTTGCAAGGCATTCATTCCTACTAAAGACCACTGCAAATGTATAGATTAAACGAGTGTGCCACACCTTTAAACTGTATAAAGTGATTGTTGTGGAAAAAATGGATGAAAGTCTTTAGTTCCTTTCTCTTGCCATGAGAGATAATAAAATAGTTTATTAGTGAGTTGAAAGCCTTCAGAGAGCCAAATCAGATTGTACCTGCAAGGTGTAAAAGGACATGTAGACATTTCTAACACTTTCCACCAGCCTGCCAGAGTTGTGGTGAAGCAGGGTTTTAGAAATGCTTCTTGAGTCCTCTTCTCTCTGGGTGCTCCTGTGCCTGTTTCCCATAATGTTGATACAGAGATTTCTGGAGTCATTCAGGGTGTCCACTCCCTCTGAAACATTGATGGAAGCCATTCCAACTTTATTTACAAAGCGCTTTAAAACAGTGGCCACTGACCAATGTCCTGAACATGAAATACGGAAGAAGTTTAAAAATAGTGATGAGATAAAACACCAACATAAGAAAATCCAGGTGAAAACTACCCTTTAATACTGGGTTAAAGTCTAAATGGTGTATTTAGGTGTAATCTGGTTCAGTTTTGTGTTTTCTTTTCTAATTGTTAACGTTGATGAGATGGTTATGATCACAAATTGGGTGCATTGTTGTATATGTGACAAGGCGTGCGATAGTTTTACTTATCAGTAAGGCTATTTGATAGTGGCGCTCTTGCGTCCTCTAGTGGCACAAAATATATTGCACCCAGCACAGCAGAAGGTCTTGAAGCAGCTAACCAGAGAAAAACAAGATTACCTGGTTACAACATTAACGGCAGTTAACTGGTTAACTACGTACAGCCCTAATATGATCCACATTTTATTGTTTTGCATAAAGAAATTTGTCTATGGGGTAAGCAAAGGTTAAAGTAGCTTTCCGGAGTATTTCTCTTATCTGATGGCCCCATCTAGTGGCTGACAAGCATATCACTCAAGTAGTCAGTCGATTTGTTTTTTTAAGATCGCGATGTCACGTTTCTTGTTTATAAATGTGCTTCTGTAGCTGACTAACAGCTAAAGCACATTGTTTTACAAATATTATTCTCATGTCATGTTGTGTTTTCTTATATTTATATTTTAAACACTTACTTGTCCGTGAAAAGTTAATCAACTCTGCATCAGCCGCGGTAGTTCTGGACGACACACAGTTTCCTACTGCATGGAGCTCTGCAGGGCAAAAAAAAAAAGAGGTATTGCTTACATTATATCACTTTTATGGATTTCTGAAAATTCATACATAATTTCTGAAAGGGGAAGACTCCGTAAATCTACTTTAATTGGCTAGAATTCGTAAAACTAGCTAATCAATATACTGTACATTTTTATTCATTTGTTTGTTTTAAGAATTCTAGCCAAGCAGCGTAGCTCACCCCTGATACCGGGACAGAGAAGGACTTCCTGTTTTGTGTAACACCTGAAGCCAAACTGGCAATACAATCTGGTTATTTAGTTTTACAGTTGAAACCGCTTACAGGCTTGAATCGGTGATTGTGGGATGGTGCTGTAATAATGTGTTGTCCTGCTTGTGTGTCCCTTGTTCAGTATTTTGTTTGCAGATATTGTAGGCTTCACCCAGCTGTCGTCTTCTTGCACTGCCCAGGAACTGGTGAAGTTGCTGAACGAGCTCTTTGCTCGCTTTGACAAACTTGCTGCAGTGAGTTTTAAATGATGCCATGCACGCATTCAAAATGTTTGCCCTGCTTATTGTTTTTTTAATGAACATTTGTTAAAATCAATGATACGAAGACCAGATTGTCTCATGCGTTTTAGATTTCTAGGTTTGATTCTGACTAAATCTTTTCTGTTCTTACAGAAATACCACCAGCTTAGGATCAAAATTTTGGGAGACTGCTACTACTGCATCTGTGGCCTTCCAGACTACAGGGAGGACCATGCTGCCTGCTCCATCATGATGGGCTTGGCAATGGTGGAAGCCATCTCGTAAGTCACTCCAGCATATCTGGTGTATTTTGTATATAGTATTCCAAGTTCAATTTATTTTAAAACAATCATCATAGTCTTTAAGATAAAGTTTACAGCCAGGGAAAATATTTTTATGGTGTTTTATCAGCCTGTCCAGTTTCAGCTGTCTGATCTACTTTAGATATAAAAAAAACAATTCAAGAATTCTATTGTTTCACCAATGTTACATCCCAGGATCGTCTACGTAATGGGACTCGCAAAAGTCTGGACAGGGCAGATTTTTTAAATTTCTTCTTTTATAATGTACAGTAGCATTTAGGCTCGAGGAGAAGCTTAAATGAAAATAATTCAGTTCAGTTTATTTATAAAGTTCCAGTCAGGACGACAAATTGCAGCTAAATAAAATATGAAAGATTATCTAGTTTTTCTCATAGAGCAGGGTCAGATGGTCAAATGTAAGCATTTTTAGAGTTATTTAACATTTTCATCTTAAGTACCCTGCCTTGAAAGTGACGATGTGTAGTTTTTAACCATTAATTTCTAGAAATATCCATCAAAATGTTGAAAACGAATGAAATGGAGCCCAGTTCTTGAAAAATATTGGCAGCTTTATAACATAACCATAAAATTCAGGTCTAAAATACATGGGAGTGGGTCTAAGTCTCTGGGTAACGCCGTATTCGACTCCAAGTTTCCTTCTGCGGGAGCCCATGAGGACAAAATGTGTTTACTGATTTGTAAAAAGCAGTTACAAAGCTTTTGCCATTCTTAAATGTTGTTGTTTTACACATTTACCTCTTTACTTGTTGCCAGTGATGAAAGGGTGTCTGATGTGCTTGTTAGTTTGCTAAAGTTAGCACTCCCCAGGGCTTTTTGACCCTAATGGGCATCTGTTGGTAAGGTCTTACTCCCACACTAAAATACTGCTTGCTTGTAACAATTTAGGTATCAACTGCCCCCTATCGCCAAGAAAAATACATACTGTCACTTTAAATACAAATAATTTTTTATGAAAATAGTTAAAAAAAAATATCAATATGTAAAATTGCCCATATGTGAAGGAAACAACTGATCGGATTAAAGTAATTGGATTGAAGTTCAGGAAACTTATGGAGTACTAAAACAAAAGAATGGTGAATGCTACGTTTGTCACAGTGCAACCAGCTGATAAGCATGGCCCTAAGATCTTCATTGTGAACCTACTGCAGGTATGTCAGAGAGAAAACCCAGACTGACGTAGACATGAGAGTTGGAGTTCACAGTGGAACTGTTCTGGGTGGAGTTCTGGGCCAGAAACGATGGCAGTATGATGTTTGGTCCACAGATGTAACTGTGGCCAACAAAATGGAAGCTGGAGGGATTCCAGGGTAAGAACAGTTTTTTCTTAAGTTCTGAAAAATGCTTCAGATGTCCACTTTTAAATGGATCCTTCAGAGATTTTAGCATGATTTTCCAGGGGTAGAATTTTGTTTATTCCCACCTCTTAGTTGAGTTTATATTTTCTCTCTCAAAATGATTCAATAGGGATGGGGGTGGTGGTGGTGGTGGTGGTGGGGGGGGGGGGGGGGGGGGGGGTGTTGATATGTTCTTATCAATATCAAGGCCATTGTTGATTCTGTCTATCAAACCAATTCCTTATCAATTCCCGACTAAGTTCAATAGGTGGCAAAAAATTAATTACACATGGTTTCCTGCATTGTAACTGTCTGTCACGTTGAGGGGATGGTTAGGACCCAAAGTGCAGATTACCCAGACAACAAGAGGCAGGAGTTGGTATAAAGTAAAAATCATTTATTTTGCAGGACGAACAAAAATAAATCCAAAGGCAGTGAGCCAAAAATACAAAAACCCTGGTACCAAGAACAAAAGCTCACTTAGAGCACAAAGTCCAAAAGTCATGGAACTCAGGACACCGTAAGCTCACTTGGAGCACCAAAACCTGGAGACATAAGCTCACATAGAGCACGAAACAACGCTGACAAACATACAATGGACCGACACAAAACAGAGGCAAGACGGGGCTTAAATACACAGGGAGGAGTAATTAGGGAAACAGGCAGCAGGTGTGTGGAGTGAGGGCTGGAGGGAAGACAGGTGAATATAATTATCTAAATGGGGGAAACAGAACCAGAGGAGGGCAAATAAACCTAAAACTCTAAAACACAAAACTAAACCTAAAGACTGAGGGCAGGACTCAAACACAAACACCAACACACACACACACACACACACACACACACACACACACACACACACACACACACACACACACACACACACACGCACACGCACACACACTGAGCTGGGGAATGGACATGCACACACACACACATACTAACACACACACATACACTGAGCTGGAGATGACTGAATGATCTGAAGAGGGAAACTAATGGGCCATTCCCATCAGTACCGGGTCGGCCCAGGCCGGGTAGCGTAGGTTGTTTACATATCTGGGTGGCCTGGTATTTTTCCGGGCCAACCAAGGCTCATTCTCAGCCCTCTTCTCGAGGGGGTCTGCTTCAGGCCGACCAGGGCCAACACACCCACTGCTGACAGCAAATTCACACCTTCCATTAGAGCAAGCCTCTGATTGGTGGGTAGAATCAGCCCACATGGGCTTAAGACAAGGATGTGTGGAATCAACCGGGCCAGGCCGGGGCCGACTGGGGCTACCCGGCCCGGGCCGACCCGGTACAGATGGGAATGGCCCACTAGAGGGCTGGAGTTCTAGGGGCAAATGGGGAAAACCAGGAGACACATGAGGAAGACGCAGACAGGACACATGAGGGCGCTAGAAGACACAAAAGGAGCACCTAGAGACGAATGGAGGACACAAGGAGACACAAGAGGGGAGACGCAGACACAGACCATGACACTGTCAGATGATTCATGTCAAATATTCAGTTGTACCTTAAGTCTTGAGTAAGACTTGTAATCCTGCCTCCCTGCTTATTCTGATCAGAATAATTTTTAGATATCTAAAGATGTTTTGTGGTTTCCTGAGGCAACAACTGCTGTAATGGTTTACTTCTTTGTACCAGTCGTGTTCACATATCACAGAGCACGATGGAGTGTCTTCATGGTGAGTTTGACGTGGAGCCAGGAAATGGAGGAGACCGCTGTGACTACCTGAGGGAGCGAGGTATTGAGACCTACCTGGTGGTGGTTCCAAAAGGACCACAGGGAAAGTCCGTCATCAGTGGAGTGGTAAGTTTAGTCTTCAAATGCCCCGAGCTAAAACCATCCATCTGTGTTCATGTTCAGCCAGGTCTATCAGGGGCTCACGATGCAGTTTACAGAGTATGCCTGCTGAAGTTCCAATGAGCAACTCTGTTTGTCTTTGGTGATTTTAATTTGCCTGAGGAAAAGGTTTTACCTTTTAACGTGATGTGAAAAGTCACATTTGAAGATTTCCGAATTTAAACAATTTTTTTTTTCATCCTGAGAAAATCCATCCCAACACGCCGGTGTGGCATATCTAAAATGTGCTTTAGACCAGTGTTTCCCAATCCTGATCCTCAGGGCACACTGACCTGCATGTTTTCCATGTCTCCACTTCAGCATAGCTGATTTCCTATGCTGAAGTGACCCAGGCACATTCCATCACCAAGCCCTCCTCTCAAATCAAAACAGGCAACAAGATGTCGCAGCAAGTAGCAGTGGAGGAAATTGTCCCGTAAAATGGTTACAGTAGTTCACCAGCACAATGATATTTTGGTTTTTACAAGTATTACAAAAGAAACCCACCATGGTCAATAGAAAAATTTGCAGAGAATCAATGAAAATTCTAGTTTGGTAACACGACCAACTTGTTTTTATCATAAATTAATGACAAATGACCATGGCTGCATTTCAATTTTTTTTTCTAAACTTACAGGTGCTGGCCAGTAAATTAGAATATCATCAAAAGGTTGAAAATATTTCAGTAATTCCATTCAAAACGTGAAACTTGTACATTATATTCATGCAATGCACACAGACCAATGTATTTCCGATGTTTATTACGTTTAATTTTGATATTTATAGGTGACAACCAATGAAAACATCAAATCTGGTATCTCAGAAAATTAGAATATTCTAAAGGCCAATGAAAAAATGTTTGTTTCTCTAATGTTGGCCAACTGAAAAGAATGAACATGAAAAGAATGTGCATGTATAGCACTCAATACTTAGTCGGGGCTCCTTTTGCCTCAATAACTGCAGTAATGCGGCGTGGCATGGACTCGATCAGTCTGTGGCACTGCTCAGGTGTTATGAGAGCCCAGGTTGCTCTGATAGTCGTCTTCAGCTCCTCTGCATTGTTGGGTCTAGCGTATTGCATCCTCCGCTTCACAATACCCCATAGATTTTCTATGGGGTTAAGGTCAGGCGAGTTTGCTGGCCAATCAAGGACAGGGATACCATGGTCCTTGAACCAGGTGCTGGTGGTTTTGGCACTGTGTGCAGGTGCCAAGTCCTGTTGAAAGGTGAAGTCTGCATCCCCATAAAGTTGGTCAGCAGCAGGAAGCATGAAGTGCTCTAAAACTTCCTGGTAGACGGCTGCATTGACCCTGGACCTCAGGAAACAGAGTGGGCCAACACCGGCAGATGACATGGCACCCCACACCATCACTGACGGTGGAAACTTTACACTGGACCTCATGCAACGTGGATTCTGTGCTTCTCCGCTCTTCCTCCAGACTCTGGGTCCTTGATTTCCAAAGGAAATGCAGAACTTGCTTTCATCAGAAAACATAACTTTGGACCACTCAGCATCAGTCCAGTCCTTTTTGTCCTTGGCCCAGGCGAGACGCTTCTTGCGCTGTTTCTTGTTCAAGAGTGGCTTGACACGGAATGCGACACCTGAATCCCATGTCTTTCATGAGTCTCCTCGTGGTGGTTCTTGAAGCGCTGACTCCAGCTGCAGTCCACTCTTTGTGGATCTCCCCCACATTTTTGAATGGGTTTGTCGTCACAATTCTCTGCAGGGTGCGGTTATCCCTAGAGCTTGTACACTTTTTTCTACCACATTTTTTCCGTCCCTTCGCCTGTCTGTTAATGTGCTTGGACACAGAGCTCTGCGAACAGCCAGCTTCTTTAGCAATCACCTTTTGTGTCTTGCCCTCCTTGTGCAAGGTGTCAATGATTGTCTTTTGGACAGCTGTTAAGTCAGAAGTCTTCCCCATGATTGTGGTGCCTTCAAAACAAGACTGAGGGACCTTTTAAAGGCCTTTGCAGGTGTTTTGAGTAAATCAGCTGATTAGAGTGGCAGCAGGTGTCTTCTATATTCAGCCTTTTCAGAATATTCTAATTTTTTGAGATACCAAATTTGGAGTTTTCATTAGTTGTCACTTATGAATATCAAATTTAAATGTAATGAACATTGGAAATACATTGGTCTGTGTGCATTGCATGAATATAATGTACAAGTTTCACGTTTTGAATGGAATTACTGAAATATTTTCAACCTTTTGATGATATTCTAATTTACTGGCCAGCACCTGTATTTATAAATATCAATAATTATTGTTACCAATCAATATGGATTTTTAAAAATATATATTGATATGCTTTTTTCTAAATCATCCAGCCCTTGCCCATATTACAAGGATCTGTACAAACCTGTCCCAGAAAATTTGCATAGCTGTTGCTATCTTAAAGGAGATGTGTTATGCAGTTTGAGCTCAATGTTTTAGCCAGATACGGACTGCTACCGATCCCTCTGACACCTCAACAATCCAGTAAATATTCACATTACTGAGTTGCCGTTTATTGTAGCCAGTCTATGGCACAGCATCTTGATGCAACACACCTGTGGGGATGATAGATAAACTTGGCAAGGGATACATAATCCCTAACCCAGATTTGGATGCATTTGTGAATTTTTGAGGGAAATAGGTTTTGTTTAGATAGAAGTTTTAGATCTTTCAGTCAAGCTGTAATAATGAATCTACAAACAAGCTAGGTTTTGAAGGCAAACATAATAATTGTACGTTGCTTTGGATAAAAGCGTTTGCCAAATAAATAAACATAAACATAATAATCACCCCTCCCCTCAGGTACCCTCCCTGAGATACTTCTGTCAGAATCAGACACCCGTGACGCCAGACGAAAAGAGATAACTCTAAACACCAGTCATCATTTTCTAGGTCAAAACATCTTTTGTTGTCCGTGACTTCAGATGGTGTTTTTATTTTTGGGACTCCAAATGTTCCAATAGTTGCTTTTTGTCTGAAAGTTGTTATTGGCATATTTTTTTAATATAAATGCAAAAAAAAAAAAAATCCACTTTATTCATTTTTTCCATTTTTTATCTCCACAATATATTTATATCTATAATGTGTTTGAATGTTATTAAGTCATGAAATAAAGTTTTAAGCTAATTTGCCCCTGTAACTTTAAGCTCATGCCCAACAAGCACAAAACAAGTGTTAAGTGTATCGTAGGTTTTCAGATGCTTATCTAATTTAAAAACATTTATCTTGTCTTTATGTTATGATTATGTTCATTGTTTTTTGTATCCTTTGGTACTTGTACTCTGTACTTTTGTATCTTCTGTATCTTTTATCATGATCGAGGCACAAATCATTAGTTTTTGATAAACATCTACTAAAAGAAGGATGTTACTTAGCTTATGGGCAAACTGATCTCCAAACGACACATTTGGATTAACTTTTGTTATGTTCTCTTTTATGATAGAATTTTTGAAGTTTTGCGAAAGCCATCCTATTTTAAATGTTAGGTCATAAAATACATTTCCATTAAACCCTCCATATTTCTTTTTTTTCCCATTAGAAGCTGTCTGTGACCTCTTCCAATGGAAACTCCCCACTGCTAATCAACACCACAGAGTGTAACGGCAGCGTGAATACGACCTGCACGACACCAGAAGAACCAGAAGAAGTGGACATGAGGGTAACAGTCGAGTCACATTTACAGATTCAGAGTTTGCTCTGCTGTAAGAGTAGTATTCATCAGAAAACAGTCAAAACAAAAAGTAGTTATCTGTTCAAGATGGTCAGCAAAGCTGTTTAGCTGCACAACAATAGGGTTAATTAAATCTGCAAGCAGCGTCGTTCGGCCCTCGCAGCTCCGCGCCGCTCCGGCCTGGCCGGCAGTCTGGTGCACCCGGGCACGTCTGCTGAACATAAACATCGACCACTCCGACACCAGAAAGTGCGAACGGTCTCCTCGTCTGCACCTCACCCTGACTCAGCATCTTCTCTGAGCCCACCATTAAATTACACATCTAACCACTAGGGGATACTCTATCTTTACCACACTGATGGTGTGATGACACAGACCAAGTTTAACGCTATTCTGACCACATTTTTTGAAGTCATTGAAGGTTAAAGTTATCTAGGGGGCGCTGTGACCAACTACAGAAAAAATCCCATTGAGGTCAGCTTTGGTTGACAAAGATGGTTTTCTTTTATTTTGGCATCAATCAGACATTGTGTGTATTATCTAGAGCCAGAGAGCCAAAAGGGGGTGGAGCTACAGTGGTTTGAATCAGTGGTTTGACACAAGCCAAGTTTAATGCCATTCTGACCTTGTATTAGGAAGTAATTAACTCTTAATCTTATCTAGGGGGCGCTGTGACCAATTACATAAAAATCCCATTGAGGTCCTCTTAGGGAGTCAAAGATGGTTTTGTGGTAGTTTGGCATCAATCAGACGTTGCGTGTGCTTTCTAGAGCCAAAGAGCTGAAAGGGGGCAAAGCTAAAGGGATTTGAACCAACAACCACATCAATGTGTTTGGTGCAGTCACGTGATGACACAAGCCAAGTATAATGCCATTCTGACCTTGTCTTTATAAGTTGATAAAGTTTGAACCCATCTAGGGGCGCTGTGACCATTTACAACTAAATCCTATAGAGGTCATCTTTGGTCATCAAAGATGGTTTTGTGTTAATTTGGCATCAATCAAACGTTGCATGGGTCATCTAGAGCCAAAAGGCTGTAAGTGGGCGGAGTTAGAGTGATTTGAATGAGTGAGCACATACATGTGTTGATTGCAGTTGTGTGATGACTCCCACCAAGTTTGATATATTTAGGAGCTTTTTTGCAGAAGTTACAAAGGTTTTAATGTATCTAGGGGGCACTGTCCCAAATTTAGGAAATACTCCATGAAGCAGTTTATAGGTTGACAACATTCATTTGTGTGCAGTTTGGTGTGAATTGCATCATGCATGTGTTAATCAGGGCCTAAATCTGTCAGGGGGCGGAGGTAAAGTGATATCAACCAATGACCACAGGATTGTGTTGAGTGCCTTTGTGTGATGACATAAAGCAAGTTTTGTGCAGTTGTGACCTCGTCTGTACGAGTTATTACAGTTTTAAAGGTATGTAGGGGGCGCTGTGGTGATATTATACAACATGCACCAACTGTTTGTGCCTCATTGGCTAAAGGGCATGATTGTTGATTGCCATGTTCAGTCTCGTGCAGATCGGAGGCTGTTTGCGGAAGTTAGAGTCAAACGTAAGGTCACGGGGTCTCGCCAGAATTCGCCATGGCATCAAAGCCCCTCCCTTTCTGGAAAGCTATCAGAACTGAATGGTCATTACAGCATCATTAAGACAGTGCATGACCTTAGTGTCATGTTGACTAAATTAGAGGGGACAAATATGGGCATTTCACCATAAAACAATAGACTTCCTGTTGTCAGGGGGCGGGGCTTAGGTGATGTCAGCTGTCCACATTGTCATTGTCTTGAAATGTGGTCAGTGATCACACAGACAAAGTTTGATATGGATCTGATCATGCACATGGGAGTTATTACGTCAAATAATGGAATGGCGAAAGGTCAAAGTTTGAGGCTTAGCCACGCCCACACCTTTCAACTTTTGAAAAATCAGACGGTTGAATTTTTTCCCATATATCTTAAGAGTATATAGCAGAAGTTTGAAGGTGATTGGTGAAAAGGGCGATGGGTCATCACTCTCCAAACAACGTGTGCGAAAACCACTAAATCGAGTACTTGGACCAAAATGGCCGACGTCCTGTGCGACATTGCGCTTAGCTCCAAGAGACTTTTTTGTAGGTCCCGAGACACTAAATTAGTGTACCAAATTTCGTAATCCTCAGTCAAAGCATGGCTTGGGGGTGACAATTTTAATGGTCCTAGGGGGTGCTATTTAAGAAAATAGGCCACGAACAAGGAGAAAGATGGCAACATGTTTTCAGGAGGTCTGTGGTTTATTTTTGTTCTTCTTACCTCTGCTAATTATTCCTGATAAACAGGTGAACTCGGAAAATTAGAATATGCTGTAGACGTTCATTTATTTCAGTAATTCTACTTAGACTGAGAGACCATCTAAAGGCTCAGGAACTGTTTGCTCCTCAGAGTGTGACACTTTGATTCTAGAATATTGAACCTTTTCACAATATTCTTTCTAAGTGTCTGAGATTTTGAATGTGTAAGCCTTAATCATCACAATTATAACAAATAAAGGCTTGGCTTTGCGTGTGACGAGTCCATCTCATATATCTGTTTCACCTTTTGGGTTGAATTACTGACATAATTAACTTTTGTACCATATTAAATTTTTTTGAGTTTTTATCCTTTGTATTTTTTTTGTTTAGCAATAGGACATCTGAATGTGTATTTTATTTAGAAATTTCCAATATGCCTTACATTGCTTCTATGTTTGATTTCCTGTCTGGCCTGATCTGAACTGTTGCATTTGATGGGTTCCGGAAGTGTAGGCCTGGTCAGACCTGGCTGCAGAAACTAATGAGAGGGGGCTTCGTGTTTCTTTTAGGGGCCATACTTCTTCAAACTACGCACCAACCAATGGTGCAGGGGAAGGGAAGTGCAGCGTAGGAGATAGTCTTGAAGAGCTGGGTCTTCAAGAGTTTCTTGATGTTAGACAGGGATGCAACAGTTCCGTTCTATTCTGTAGGTCATCCCACCATCCTGATTTATAAAAAAAAAATACTGGATTATCTTGAGCATGGTGTAAGGACTGCTAGCACACAAACCTTTGATGAAAGACCATGCCCTGGATAACTTACCATCACCATTACACATTGTTTCACTCATATCTTTGACTGCAGGTGGTAAATCCGTCTTTCCCAAATCCTCGGAGGCGTTTGCGTCTGCGGGACCTGGCTGAACGGGTGGTCGATGCTCAGGAGAATGAACAAGAACTCAACAAGCTGCTGAATGAAGCACTGTTAGAACGTGAGACAGTTCAAGCGTGAGTGAACTTTTGCTTCTTTTGACACATCATGCTGCACTCTGCTCTGGGAAGTATCTAGAGTCCAACACGGACTTGGGTGAATCTTCCAGAGACATCAACATGGTGTCTGTGGACTGAAGTTTATCCACACAACCGCATACTCCGACAGCTGAATACAGATTGAAACTTAGCTTTATTGAAATTTAGTTGGAATTTAGGAAGCCTACATGACAGGAGATTAACCTGAGGAGCTATGTCACTGCAAACAGCCACACGATGGAACACCAGTTAGTTGTGTTTAATGAAAAGCACAGTTTTAACTTCTGAAGTTCCTGTGCTTTTACAGACTGAAGGGAAAGCACACCAACAAGCTGTCCCTGAGGTTTTTGGATCCAGAACTGGAGACACGGTTTTCTGTTGAGAAAGAGAAGCAGAGCGGAGCGGCTTTCTGCTGCTCCTGTGTGGTTCTTCTCTTCACTGTGATCATGGAGGCCCTCATCGACCCCTGGTTAGCTCATACCTCACACACACACCTTCATATTCACAAGGAACAAATGAAGATGCTAGGACCCTAACAGATCATAGTACTGAACTCAACTTTCATGCTTTTGTAACAGGCTGATTTCAAACTACATCACTTTTGCAGTAGGAGAGGTTTTGCTGCTCATCCTGACCATCTGCTCTCTGGCAGCCATTTTTCCCAGGGTGAGTGTAGACGTTCATTTAATTCGCTGACATTTGGTGCTCGAAGTCTCGTTTTTCTTCATCTCCATCTGCCCATGCTCCTGCCTGCCTTAATCAATGTCAAATACCGGTGCAAAAGTTCAGTTTAGACCGAGAGATCATCTAAAGTAGGGGTGCCCAATCCTGGTCCTCGAGGGCCAGTATCCAGCATGTTTTAGTTTTAATTCTGCTCCAACACACCTGATTTCAATCAGCAGGTGATTAACAGGCTTCTGCATAGCCTGATGAGATGCTGCACAGGTGATTCAACCAATTAATCAAGTATGTTGGAGCAGAAAAACCACAAAACCTGCTGGATACCGGCCCTCCAGGACCTGGATTGGGCACCCCCTGATCTAAAGGCTCAGGAACCCTTTGCAGGTGTTCTGGATTCATTAGCTGACTTGAGTGTGAGATAAAAAAACAAGCATGAGTTTTTAAATTCATCCTGAGATTCAAAGTTTCAAATGGAGTAACAAGGGCTTAGCTTTAATTCTAACAAGTTCCTCTACACCAATATTCATTGTTTCATTGACAACACCTCCGTAAGGTCTCACAATTTAAGGTGACTGGGGAATTCAGACACCAGAACATGTAGCTGTTAGCTATTAGGCTAGCATAGAGCTAATGTGTCACCTCTAGAGAGAGGGAATGTCTATAGTTTGGTTGTATTTTGAACCGAATAGTGAAGGCAAAGCAACAAACACTTGTAATGTGTGCATTTGTTGGGTTGTGCAGTCTCCTTGAGATATGGTGTGAGCCACTTTCTTGTCCCAACTTTGCAGATGCAGCACTTCAAGTGTTTTATAAAAAAAGCGCAAGGCTACTGCCGGCCGTTCCGTGCCAACCCTGTTGCGGGAATGCGCATCGCTCAAAACAGCCGCCCACTGAGTCAGCAATTTTAAATTATAGCTAAGAGGCTACATTTAAATATATCCTTAAAATTAACATGTTTTTTTTAATGTACTGTCTGAATGGGTGATGTTTTCTGGCAACTAAACTAAGGAAATGACATACAGGTGCTGGTCATAAACTTAGAAAATTTGAATATCATTTTATTTCAGTAATTCCATTAAAAAGGGAAACTTGTATTTTAGATTCATTCATTCATTACACACAGACTGCTATATTTCAAATGTTTGTTTCTTTAATTTTGATGATTATAATGACAACTAATGAAAATCCCACATTTGGCATCTGAGAATATTGGAATATGGTGAAAAGGTTAAATATTGAAGACCTCTGATGCCACACTACAATCATCTGATTAACTCACAACACCTGCAAAAGCCTTTAAATGGTCTCTCAGTCTAGTCTAGTTACAAATAAGTAACAAATTATTTCTTTCCAAAGCAAAATATAAATAGATTCATCACCCAGTAGTCGTTTGGATTTGGGTACAAAGAAAAATGCAGGTGCTGGTCATAAAATAAGAATATAATGAAAAAGTTGATTTATTTCACTAATTCCATTCAAAAGCTGAAACTTGTCTATTAGATTCATTCATTACACACAGACTGATATATTTCAAATGTTTATTTCTTATACTTTTGATGATTATAACTGACCACTAATGACAATCCCAAATTCAGTATCTCAGAATATTGGAATATGGTGAAAAGGTTAGATATTGAAGACAACATGTGCCGCACTCTAATCAGCTGGTTAACTCACAACACCTGCAAAAGCCTTTAAATGGTCTCTTAGTCTAGTTCTGTAGGATACACAATCAAGGGGAAAACTGCTGAGTTGACAGTTGTCTAAAAGATGACCATCGACACCTTGCACAAGGAGGGCAAGACACAACAGGTCATTGTTAAAGAGACTGGCTGTTCACAGAGCTCTGTGTCCAAGAACAGAGAGGTGAAGGGAAGGACAAGATGTGGTGCTTAACCAACAGGGATAGCTGCCCCCTGGAGTGGAGTGTGAAACAAAACCCATTAAAAATGTGGGGAAGACTCACAAAGAGTGGACTGCAGCGGGGGTCAGGTGTTCAAGAACGACCGCACAGACGTATGCAAGACATGGATTCAGCTGTCGCTCTCCTTGTGTCATGCCACTCTTGAACAAGAGACAGCATCAGAAGCGTCTCACCTGGGCTAAAGACAACAAGGACTGGACTGCTGCTGAGTGGTCCAAAGTTATGTTCACTGATGAAAATAAATGTTGTAAAAGGTCCCAGAGTCTGGAGGAAGAGAGGAGAGGCACAAATCCATTGTTGTATACGTCCAGTGTAAAGTTTCCACAGTCAGTGATGGTTTGGGGTGCCGTGCCATCTGCTGGTGTTGGTCCATCGTGTTTTCTGAGGTCAAAGGTCAACGCAGCCGTCTACCAAGAAGTTTTAGAGCGCTTCATGCTTCCTGCTGCTGATCGACTTTATGAAGATGCAGATTTAATTTTCTAACAGGACTCAGCACCTGCACGCAGTGCAGCTACCAGTACCTGGTTTAAGTACCATGGCACCTTAACCCCATAGAACATCTATGGGGTATTGTGAAGAGGAACAGGCCATACGCCAGACCCAACAGTTCAGAAGAGCTGAAGGCCACTATCAGAGCAACATGGGCTCTCATAACACCTGAACAGTGCCACAGACTGATCGACTCTATGCTGTGCCGCATTGCTGCAGTAATCCACGCCGAACTAGCCCCAACTAAACATTAAATGCTGTACATGCTCACACTTTTCAGTTGGCCAACATTTCTAAAATTCCTTTTTTTCTTGGCATTAGTCTTAGTTGATATTCTAATTTTCAGAGAAACTGAATTTGGGATTTTCATTAGTTGTCATTTATAATCATCAAAATGTATAGAAAATAAACATTTGAAATATATCTGTATGTTTGTAATGAATGAATCTAATATACAAATTTCATTTTTTGAATGGAATTACTTAAATAAATCCACTTTATTATGATATTCTAATTGTATCACCAGCACCTGTGTAGCTGTTAACTAACATCCTTTAAGCTTCTGGGGTTTATGACATTTTATTTAACCCATATTTGAATGTAGGTTACACATACATCTTTCTGACTTATTTATTTATTGGTAAGATAATTGTATCTACTATTCAGCACACTAGTCAGTCGTTTTTGGTTAGGTGAGTGGCGGTGGAGGGAAATGTGCTACTCACTGACTCCTACAGTCTATCTAGGCTGAAATGAAGCTTCTGACTAGAAGATGATCCAGGCTATCATAAAGTCTTGATGGTCCGCTGTCATTGGTAATAAATGCCATTCTAAATGAAACGCCCTGTGTGTCAGGTCTTTCCCAAAAAGCTGGTCACCTTCTCAACATGGATCGACCACACCCGTTGGGTTCGGAACTCCTGGGCCATGGCAGCCATTTTCATTGTGACTATGGCAGACCTTGTTGATATGGTGAGCTGCTTGAGTTGTTTTGACCTTTACAGGATTATGTAGATGAATGATTAGCTCCTAGCTGCTACTGTCCTATAGATCTGCTGATAAACAATACATTAAAATGATGTTGTCGCCATCAGATCAGAGATGATGGATTTATTTTTTATAAGTTGCAGCGACAGGAGATGATTTTGTGTCTCTTTGATGTCTAGCTGAGTTGTCTGCCTCAAGTCCCAAATTCAGGCAGCACCACAAAGGCCCCCTCTTCTTCTTTTCCCTCACGGCCCAGCCTTGAAGGTTGCCTGAACAATCCTAAATATTACAGCTACATGTCTGTGCTTGCACTCATGGCCACCATCATGCTGGTTCAGGTCAGTCACATGGTCAAGCTCACACTGATGCTGCTCATAACAATGACAACTGGCATTGTTAATATCTACAGCTGGAAGGAGATCTTTGACCGCTATGACATGCTCCGCTTCCAGGATTACAGGTAAATCGATTTGGATCGGTAGGGTTGAAGTTGAACTCTCAAGTCAGATTTCTGTTCGTAGTTTTGATCCCTAAAAGTAAACTTTAGTTTTGTTTAAACAACCGTTGATGTTCCAGTGGGAGTTATGATGGCTTCTGCTTTTTATCATAAAGAGATAAAGAGTCACACTAACATTGTCATTTTTCTACAGTAATGGATGTAATGGTGTAGCTGTTAGCTTGCTTCATAGCAGCCATTTATTAGCAAAAACTTGTATTAATCATCAACTGTCACGGGTGCAGATGTGTTCCTAGATTAACTACGTTGTTACTTGTTACTGTTCTTCCTCGTAGGTCAAAAATTCTACCTTCCAACATCACAGTGACTGTTATGATCTTCATTATGATGGTCAGCTTCTATTACTTCTCCAGACATGTAAGTCCGTGTATCTTAAAGTAACTGACCCTGTCCTAACAGGGATAGACACGCTGATGGGTGTTCAGAACACGGCTTTTAACAGCAATCACCAAAATGACACACAAATGTTCCAACAAGTCTTGTCTTGTTTTACACAGCTGATGGAACTGTTGTTCCTTATGACCATACAAAGAAAAGCCAACATTTTAATGAGGAATTTAATCCTAAAACTGGAGATGACCCATTAGTCATTTACCGCCTACTCATGATTAGCAGTTTCTATCCCATGAGTGTTGACATTGCCTTCCCCTGATCCAGCTGCTCTTCACTTTGTCTGGTTGAAGGTGATGTCCCCCACCATTATTTTCATTAAGAGTTAAACTCCAAATCTTTGAAGAAAAACTCAACCTCCTCCACTCTTTATCTCTCCTTTTCATACGTCTGACAGCTGACCCAAAGCTATGGCGCTACCAGACTCTTTCCAACGTCATAGACTGAGATGCATTCCAAGTTGCATAATTCAAGTCTAAACATAAGTTTTGCTGTCAGCATTTTACTGTAAAAATTGAATGGTTATGCTCCCCACCCCGTGCCCTATCTTATTGTCAAGACATTGCCGGTCTGCCAGGGGCAATGCTCCACGGTTTAAGAATCTCTGTATTGGTGCACGTCACAGCTGTTTCCAAGCCAACATTTCCAACGCTAACAGCGGTCCTTGTTGCTGGTTTAAGGTGGAGAAGCTTGCTCGAACTCTCTTTCTGTGGAAGCTCGAGGTCAATGAGCAAAAGGAGAAGGTGTATGAGATGCGGCGCTGGAACGATGCTCTGGTCACAAACATGTTACCTGAACATGTGGCCCGACACTTTCTGGGCTCCAAGAAAAGGGATGAGGTTGGTGGTTCATACTTTTTGTGTGTTCTTGCCACATATCATCCAAGCTCAGCCTCATTTTGAGCTCAAGTGTCAGGCTTCTCATCTGGGCCAGGGGCGTGTCCAGGGAGTGGCCTGGGGTAGCACATGCCACCCTTGGAATCTGATTGGCCACCCCAGGTGCCACCACACTAATTTATCTTTAAATAGGCTTTTCATTGTCCACAAAAGGCTTGGGGGTAAAACGAGAAAGCCTAACCATTGGTGCCACCCATGCACAAAGTTGGACCTCACCTGGGCCACCCCATTTTAAAAGATCTGGACACGCCACTGATCTGGGCTCAACATAGTGAGCAGTGAGGAGAGCTGTAGCGTGTGACAAGACCCAAACGTGGGAGTGCTAGCAATGGGGGATGTCTGACACAAGCCTCAAATAGAAACAAGGGTGAGGCTGCATTCCAGAAAATTAAAAAGAACAGGCTTACTGTTCAGATGCAGGTGAATGAGGTGGGCGTGGAAGCTCTGCAGCACATACCTTCTTTTACATCCCTACTCGATACTGTACATTTTGATAGGGGTTGAAAAGGGCTTAATAAAAAAAATTGATTTGTACCTTATGTTTCTGCTACTAACTCTAGCCATCATCAGAGTTAGCCGCCTAACTTTTTTTTTACTAAGCTGTGTAAAAAAATAAAGTAATGGATTATGAAGTTACACACAGAGGGTGTTACACCACTAAATGGTTTTACCTGACATATACACCCTTTAACAATAGATAAAAAAAAATTAACATGTCCTATCTTATGTATCATTTTTCTGGTCCAATGCAAACACTGTTGTGAAGTTTGATTTTACTTTGAAAGGCATGTCACAACCACATGAAGGCTGACTGGATAGTTTGCCAAATCAATATAAAAGTCAAATTCTTTCCTGTGGCTTGTTTTCTGCTTTCATCTTTTTAGTCCAGACCTGAAATCAAAACTTTATATCAAAATGGATTTGTTGTGCTCATTTTTATGTTGTGTTGTTTTTCAGGAGCTGTACAGCCAGTCCTATGATGAGATTGGAGTCATGTTTGCCTCAATTCCCAACTTCTCTGACTTTTATACTGAAGAGAGCATCAATAATGGTGGCATTGAATGTTTACGTTTTCTCAACGAGATCATCTCAGACTTTGACAGTGTAAGTTTCTATTTCTACGTTGGTGTTTTGATCACAGCTAGTGAACATGAAGTGGTGACCGTTTTGACAGATGTTCAGAAAAGGTGGTAAAAGAAGCAGCGTGTGTAAATATGCAGGTCTTTCTTTTTGTGAAGTGGTTGACCCTGTAACAGCTCATCTCTTAATTAAATTTACAAGATTTTTAGACAAGTTACTTAATTATTAATAATAATAATAATAATAATAATAATAATAGTAGGGACTCTTTTTGGGACTCTGGTAGTTTGTCCTAAAGTTGAAAGTGGAAGCTGGCTGTTGCTACTTGTCTGACATTTGCAAAATGTGCAAGCGAGTAGTGGGTGACGGGCGCAGGCAAATGCGGAAGTGTTGTGGCTCAGTAAGACTGAGCCATGTTATTGGCTAAGGCTTTTAGACAAATACGAGGGAACAACTTCATTATTGTATTTTATTTATTTTTCTTTATAGTTATACAGTGCCAGAATGTTAGAAGGCATGAAACACGTTTTAAGCTAGCTTGCTTTTTCAGATTGATCATGGTATCTTTAAGTGCTACAGCTTAGCCTCAACCCGATGGCTTGATTATCACCTGTAAGTCGCTTTAGACAAAAGCGTCTGCTAAATACATAAGCATAAACAGAAATCCTGTCACCAGGTTCAAAGTAACAAAGCTACAGCCATTGAAGCTTCAAACCAAATATGATTTTCAAGCCCCTAAATTCAATGTAACATCCACACGTCCTCTGTTAACCATCTTTACTGTGAGGAGGCACATCTTTTAAAGGCGTAACATGCAACTTTTTCAAATAATTTTTAGAGGCCGACTGATATGTTTTTTTTAAGGCTGATACGGATTTTTAAAGAATTTTGTTGCCAATGGCCGATATCTAAAGCTGATTATGAAGGCCGATTTACATACGTTTTGGCAGCACATTGATTGTGAAAGACAACTGAACACTCACTATGTGCAATATTAATTAAATAAGTCAATACATTGTTTAATATTTATTGAACTTAAAATATGAAACAAACTCAAAGCATGAAAAAAAGGGTGTGTTGGTGTCTTCCAGGTCCTTACTTCAGTTTAATACTGGCAGCAGTTGACCACACAGGTGTCAGATTTTTTTCCCCCCGCTTTTGAAAATAATTTTGGCCGATATAGAAAAATTGAAGATATCAGCCGGCCGATCGATCGGTCGGCCTCTGATCATTTTCTTGAGCCAGTATGAGCTAAAATGACCCTTTACATGGTTAATGAAAAGTCTCTCTAACCCCCCACTGCCCTCTGTGGCCAAAATACCGCCCTTGCAACTTCAGATTGGCAGGCTGCCACATGTTGGACCTAATAAAATGGAGCATACATGGCACTGGAGTGTGCTTTTAGAATGTTTCCTGCATGTTTTAGATCTTGAACACAGCTGCTTTGTTTAATTTAATTTAATTTCATTTCATGATGAATCACTTCTGTAGACGCCAATGAAGGCTGGGGAGACATTTCAACAGTTAGTTTAAGGTGTTAAAAAAGACTAACGCACAGCGAGAAGATAAGTTTCACTTTTGGTTTTCCTAACTGGACACTAGTTGGTGCTAAAACAAGCCAAAACTGTTAAGTATCCCTTTTATAATGTTTCTCATAGAGAGAAAACACAGAATTCCTGAAAATCTGGACATACGAGCCAAGAATGCAGAATTAGTTTGATCTGTAACAAATACAATTTAAATCACCCAACAATTTTGCATGTTTACAATAAAGATAAGTTATACTCCCAATTGTACCAGTATAGTTAAAATCTAAGGATAATACACATTTGTGAGGTTGACGTTAAAAACAACTGGGTGTTATACAGGGTATCGCGGGTCCTTAAAAAGTCTTAAATTTACTTTTCCAAATTTAAGGCCTTGAAAATCCTTTAAAATTACAAATAATCCTTAAATACAGTTTCCAAAGGTCTTAAATTACCAAAGACCCAATAAACTAGATTATTTTATTCATTTTTGTGAATTTCTAGTTAGTCTTCAGCATTTTTTGTGTATGATGTTGGCGTAAGCGGAACCGTACGCATTCAGTTGGTTGTGAAAGGGGGCTATTTTTAGATGAGCACATTAGCTGGTTAAGCTAGTGGGAGCTTGTGCCGTGGAGAAGTGCAAGTTTAATAGTAACTGGATGATTAATCCCACGTTCGTGACGTGGTTAGCACCGTCTTCGTCTTCGTCTTCCTCCGCTTATCCGGGTCCGGGTCGCAGGGGCAGCATCCCAATTAGGGAGCTCCAGGCCGTCCTCTCCCCGGCCTTGTCCACCAGCTCCTCCGGCAGGACCCCAAGGCGTTCCCGGACCAGATTGGAGATGTAACCTCTCCAACGTGTCCTGGGTCGACCCGGGGGCCTTCTGCCGGCAGGACATGCCCGAAACACCTCCCCGGGGAGACGTCCAGGAGGCATCCTGACCAGATGCCCAAACCACCTCAACTGGCTCCTTTCGATCCGGAGGAGCAGCGGTTCTACTCCGAGTCCCTCCCGAATGTCCGAGCTCCTCACCCTAACTCTAAGGCTGAGCCCGGCCACCCTACGGAGGAAACTCATTTCGGCCGCTTGTATCCGCAATCTCGTTCTTTCGGTCATTACCCAAAGCTCATGACCATAGGTGAGGATTGGGACGTAGATCGACCGGTAAATCGAGAGCCTGGCTTTCTGGCTCAGCTCCCTCTTCCCCACGACAGATCGGCTCAGCGTCCGCATCACTGCAGACGCCGAACCAATCCGCCTGTCGATCTCCCGATCCCTCCTACCCTCACTCGTGAACAAGACCCCGAGATACTTAAACTCCTCCACTTGAGGTAGGACCTCTTCCCCGACCCGGAGGTGGCAAGCCACCCTTTTCCGGTCGAGAACCATGGTCTCAGATTTGGAGGTGCTGATCCTCATCCCAGCCGCTTCACATTCGGCCGCGAACCTACCCAGCAAGAGCTGAAGGTCAGAGCTGGATGAAGCTAGGAGGACCACATCATCCGCAAAAAGCAGAGACGAGATTCTCCTGCCACCAAACTCGACACACTCCACACCACGGCTGCGTCTAGAAATTCTGTCCATAAAAGTGATGAACAGAACCGGTGACAAAGGGCAGCCCTGGCGGAGTCCAACCCTCACTGGGAACAGGTCCGACTTACTACCGGCTATGCGGACCAAACTCACGCTCCTCTGGTAAAGGGACTGAATGGCCCTTAACAGAAAGCCACCCACCCCATACTCCTGGAGCGTCCCCCACAGTGTGCCCCTGGGGACACGGTCATAAGCCTTCTCCAAATCCACAAAGCACATGTGGATTGGTTGGGCAAACTCCCATGCCCCCTCCATCACCCTTGCAAGGGTATAGAGCTGGTCCACAGTTCCACGGCCAGGACGAAAACCACATTGCTCCTCCTCTATCTGAGATTCAACTATCGATCGGACCCTCCTCTCCAGTACCTTGGCGTAGACCTTTCCCGGGAGGCTGAGGAGTGTGATCCCCCTATAGTTGGAACACACCCTCAGGTCACCCTTCTTAAAGATGGGGACCACCACCCCGGTCTGCCACTCCCTAGGAACTGCCCCCGATGACCACGCAATGTTGTAGAGACGTGTCAACCATGACAGCCCTACAACATCCATAGCCTTGAGATACCCAGAACGAACCTCATCCGCCCCCGGGGCTCCGCCGCTGTGTAGTTGTTTGACTACCTCAGCAACTTCTGCCCCCGAGATCGGACAGTCCATCCCCAGGCCTCCCAGCTCTGGTTCCTCCTCGGAATGCGCATTGGTGGGATTGAGGAGCTCCTCAAAGTATTCCTTCCACCGTCCGACTATAGCCTCAGTTGACGTCAGCAGCTCCCCATCCCCACTGTAAACAGTGTGAGCGAGTTGCTGCCTTCCTCTCCTGAGGCGCCGGACAGTTTGCCAGAACCTCTTTGGAGCTGATCGATAGTCTTTCTCCATGGCCTCACAAAACTCCTCCCACGCCCGAGATTTTGCCTCGGCAACTGCCACTGCTGCACCCCGCTTGGCTATCCGGTACCTGTCTGCTGCCTCCGGAGACCCACAGACCAGCCACGCCCTGTAGGCCTCCTTCTTCAGCCTGACGGCTCCCCGAACCTCTGGTGTCCACCAGCGGGTACGGGGGTTGCCACCACGACTGGCACCGGCCACCTTACGACCACAGCTAGCAACAGCCGCCTCGACAATCGCAGAGTGGAACAAGGCCCACACGGACTCAATGTCCCCCACTGCTCTCGGGACGTGGTCAAAGCTCTGCCGGAGGTGGGAGTTGAAGACCGTCTTGACAGGTTCTTCTGCCAGGCGTTCCCAGCAGACCCTCACTATGCGTTTGGGTCTGCCAGGTCTACGCGGCATGTTCCCTTGCCATCTGATCCAACTCACCACCAGGTGGTGATCAGTTGACAGCTCCGCCCCTCTCTTCACTCGGGTGTCCAAAACATACGGCCGCAGGTCAGATGATACGACTACAAAATCTATCATCGACCTGTGACCTAGGCTGCCCTGGTACCAAGTGTACCGGTGGGCATCCTTATGTTCGAACATGGTGTTCGTTATGGCCAAACTGCGGCTTGCACAGAAGTCCAATAACAAAACACCGCTCGAGTTCAGATTAGGTGGGCCGTTCCTCCCAATCACACCCCTCCAGGTCAAGCTGTCATTGCCCACGTGAGCAATGAAGTCCCCCAGCAGGACAATGGAGTCCCCTGATGGAGCACTATCTAGCACTCGTCCCAGGGACTCCAAAAAGGGTGGGTACTCTGAACTGATATTTGGCCCATAAGCACAAACAACAGTCAGGACCCGTTCCCCGACCCGAAGGCGCAAGGAAGCCACCCTCTTGTCCCCCGGGGTAAACCCCAACACACAGGCAGAGAGTCTCGGGGCTAACAAAAAGCCAACCCCAGCCCTCCGCCTCTCACCCGGAGCAACTCCAGCAAAGTAGAGTGTCCAACCCCTCTCCAGGTCTCGGGTTCCAGAGCCAATGCAATGTGTCGAGGTGAGTCCGACTATATCTAGCCGGTACCGCTCAACCTCTGCCACAAGCTCCGGCTCCTTCCCCGCCAGCGAGGTGACGTTCCATGTCCCAAAAACTAGTTTTCTTGTCCGGGGATTGGACCGCCAAGGCTCCCGCCTTGGTCTGCCACCCGATTCGCATTGCACCTGACCCTTCATGTTCCTCCTGCGGGTGGTGGGTCCACAGTTGGACGAGCCCAAGTATCCGGTTCGGGCTGGGCCCGGCCGGGCCCCATGGGCGAAAGCCCGGCCACCAGGCGCTCACTCACGGGCCCCAACCCCAGGCCTGGCTCCAGGGTGGGACCCCGGTAACCCTCCGGGCCGGGTACTCCGACTCTTCGTTTTAACCGCCATGAAAGATCCTTCGAACCGTTCTTTGTCTCACCCTTCACCTAAGACCAATTTGTCATGGGAGACCCTACCAGGGGCACTAAGTGCCCCAGACAACATAGCTCCTAGGATCATTAGGGCACTCAAACTCCTCCACCACGATAAGGTGACGGTTCAAGGAGGAGTGGTTAGCACCGGTCCCAGGCAATAGCTGGAAATTATAGTAGAAATTAAATAAAAAAAAAAATAGCTTAAATTTGGTCAAAGTGGCCTTAAAAAAGGTCTTAAAAAGTCTTAAATTTGGCTCCCATAAACCTGCAGATACCCTGGTTATAGGTTTAATTTTCCTGTGTGTAATTTTCAACAGTGCATGTGTTAATTTATTTTTTTGTATTTATAAATTCTTAATAAGTGTGTATGTTTTTTTTAACATATTTGCAGTTACCCAATGGTTTGAACTGAATGTTTTTACAGTTTACAAATCCAGTTTTAGACATAAAAGCTACATACAAAACAGGGTGACCGTTTCCAAGTGAGGTATTACATATGCTCAGATATGACTCAATTTTCTCCCCATAGCAAAATACATGATTTATTTTGTCTGGATTTGTAAAAAGTTGCCAATAACAAAGTTATTTTTAAACTCTGCCAAGTAAAAGCTGTGGACACTGAAAGGTCAAAGTAGGACTGGGTGCAGCGAATGACTGCATCCTCTGAGTATGAATGAAAGGTTATTTTTAAAAACATGTTTCCAAGAATGTTTATGTAAACGAAAAATGACAAGGGGCCTGTCACTACCCGATCCATACCAGAAACCCAATCCGTACCGCACATGCGGGAAAGGTGTCTACTTTAGCTCAAAGCACTTTACGATAGTTACGGGTCAGAGTGTCAGAGTATATTGCCACTACCCGATCCGTACCGGAAACCCAGACCTGACAAGGACTGATAAAGAGAGACTTTTGATATTAAAGATGAAAGATCAACATTAGTTTTCGTACTTACCTTTTAGTCTGTAATTAGGCGTCATTCTTCTTATTTTACGGCGCTGTTGTTCGATCGGGGGAAGCTCTCTATTGAGGAGAAAAGCATGAATATGTATGTATACAGAGATATCCATTGTTTAAATGTCCCGGGTAGTTGAAAAGAAGCCAGAGCTGTAGAGAAATTTAGGAGCTACATGTGACGCATCAAAAGGAAGTAACTTAAGATTTGCGCATATGCGGTATGAATTGGGTTTCCAGTATGAATCGGGTAGTGACAGAACACAGAAGGGGAGGCTGTTGCTTGGCTGGTAGAGCAGTCACCTCTTGATGTTAGATCTGTCTGAATAGTTTGGCTTCTGCTTGTTGGACCAATTGCAAACCTTCTAAGTAAAGTGAGAAAAAACAATAACTGAAATGCAATTGATAAAAATGTGATCAACAGTATGAAAATGCTTAGAAATGAATTAGTAAAGAGACAAGAAGTTTGACTTTTATGGATGCTATAACAGTTGTGAAATTTCTTCAAAACCTTTCTGGAATGATGACAGAATAAAGTTCAATAAAGACTCACCAGAATCTGGTTCAGAGGCAACACATTTTTTATATTTTAAGATGATGTAAATGAGTAAAATCCAGGTTTTCTCCTGTTGATCACCATCTGCTATTTTGCTTTTTTCTTCTCAGATTTACAAACAATGGATATTTGTTGAATGTATTGGATTTTGTGTCTTAAGTACAAACTAACCATTGGTCTCTGTCCATGTCAGCTGCTAGATGAACCACAATTTCGCTGCATCACAAAGATCAAGACTATTGGCAGCACCTATATGGCAGCATCAGGTGTCACCTCAGATATCAGCAATGGTTATACCTGCACGAAGGTAAGCAGATCACGTGACTTCTGTCTTTGTATCCTTTTACTGACTTGTGGGAAAAAACTAGAGGCTAAAGGAGGCAAGAAAAGCACCGATGGCACATTGTTTCAACCCAAGTTTGAGTGGTTACATTTTGGTATTAGTGTTCCAATACAAATACTAATGAATACTTTTTCACTTTGAATGTCCTACACACCTACATGGATGGATGGATTTCCTGGAGCTAGTACTGTATTGAAGATATTTTGCTTTTTCACAGTCATACCATTGGATACAGACAGTGGAACAAAAGGTATTTGGCAGTCACCGATTGGGCATGTTATTCCACTTACAAAGACGAGGGATCTGTAATTTTCATTAAAAGTACAGTTAAACTGTGAGAGACAGAATGTAAAAGATGATGATGATTTTAAAAGAATTTCTTTGTATATTGATGCAGAAAATAAGTATCTGGTCAATACCAAAAGTTCACCTCAATATGTCTCTAGAGCATTGGTGTTTTGGGGCTGTCGCTGGGCAACACAGACCTTCGACTCCATCGACAGATTCTCTATTGCAGTGGTTAGCAAACTTATTTCTTGAGGACCCAGTTGCTTGTGTCGAAGATGAGCCAGGACCCTCAACCCCAACTCCTACACACATACACACATTAAATGTGATCATTTACAAATTTTACACAGACATATAGAACTATAACTTTTATATGGAGTTCTGATTACACTGTAGTGTGTGTTATTGGGACGTTATGTGTAATTTTACAAATAAAATCTTGCTAACCTCAGAAAGACTAAATTATGGGGACCCACTTGGGGGTCCCGACCCCCAGTTTGGGAATCACTGCGTCTATTGGACTGAGGTCTGGAGACTGTTAAGGCCTCTGCAGTACCTTGAAATACGTTTTACTTAGCTACTCTTTCATCACCTGTGTGGTGTGTTTGGGATCATTGTCATGCTGGGCGATCCTGCCATGTTTGATTTTCAATGCACTCATTGATGGAAGGAGGTTTTTGCCCAGAGTCTCACAATACATGGTCCCATTCATTACAGATCAGTCTTCTTGTCCCCTTTACAGATAAGCAGCCCCATGGCATAATACTTCCACCCCCATGTGGCACAGTGGGTATGGTGTTGGCATGCAGCTCGTGATTCTTTCCTCTCCAAACACGGCGAGTGGTGTTCCTACCAAAGAGTTCTATTTTCGTCTCATTTAATCACACAACGTTCTCCCAATCCTCCTCTGGATCATCCAGATGGTCTCTAGCAAATTTTAAATCGCTCTGGACACGCGCTGGCTTTAGCAATGGGACCTTTCAAGCGCCGCAGAATCTTAATCCATGATGACGTAGTGTGTTCCTAGTAACGTTTGACCTGTGGTCCCAGCTCTCTTCAGATCATTGAACAGTTCCCCATGTGTAGACAAGATCATTTGTACCCCATTAGGTGAGGTCTTACATGGAGCCCCAGGTTGAGGGAGATTGTCAGAGATCTTGAATTAATTTCATTTTCTAAAAACTGCTTCAACAATTGATCTCTTCTTACCAAGCTGCTTGTCTACTGTGGAATACTCTTGTGCAGGTAACCTTGTCCCTAGTGTCCTTAGACAGCTCTCTGATCTTTAATACCGATAACAAGTTCAAACAAGTGCCATTAGTGCAGATGACAAGGGGAGAATATGAGAGCTTCTTAAACACCTAACAGACCTGTAAAAAAACAGAATTATTGCCTGTTTGTAAGTGCTAAATGCTTATTTTCTGCACCATTATACAAATAAATTCTACAAATAAATCATAAAATGTGATTTTCTGGAATTCTTTTTAATTCTACCTCTTGAAATTTATCTATAATAAAAATTACAGACCTCTCATATTTTAAGATAAACAATTTGCACAATTGGTGGCTGTCAAATACTTTTCTGCCTCGTACATACTAGTGTGTACAGTTGTGGAAACCTGACTCTTTAGAAAAAAGTTAAATGTTATATTCTGATAATAGTATACCAGCTTTGTGTCCTGGTGATCCAAATCAGAACTCTGGAATAAAGCCCTGCGTTTGAATATTTTAAAAATTCCATTCCTGCCCACTGTTTATTTTCTGACCATTACCGCCTGCTCCCACAATGTCATTACTGCAATGTCCTACAGTGTTATTGTCCAACCCCACTTCCACCCACAGATCCATTAATTAAAAAAAAGTACTTTATGATCAAATACACTTACCATACATGAAAAGTTTTTGATTTTAGAAGATCAAGCTTTTTTATATTGGCATTTTCATTATTTTTAGTTGTATCCTCCTCAGTCTTAATTTTGTCACAAACCTCAATTATGTTCTCCATCTGACGGACACTCTTTTGACTTACGGTTTATTTTTAGCCGCTTTCTCCAGGCCACCGTTGTTGTTTTTTTTTTAACTGCTAGCACCTGCGAGATTTGTGTTGTGGCAAGTGGATCTTACAAGACCCCAGTACCAATGTGGTTCACTTCAGACGTGGTTACATCTAAAGGTGGAGGAAAAGAGGAAGATGGCAATAATCATTTTAATGATGACATCCAAAACGACTGTATTATAGTGCTGAAGGATGACTGAGATGTTCCAGATCTAAGTGTAATATTAGCTGAAAACTTTATATTTAACCCAAAGGAGCTGTGGGCAAGAAATGTCATACCACATCATATGAATCAAATTTCAGTCTGCCTGTCAGGTAATTTCTGCTGGGATGGCCTGGTTGAAGGAAACCCGAGAGTGGTCAGCAGCTGCAGGTGCACTGGAGCTTGGTTCACAGTGGCTCGGTATCCTCCGCAACTAATAGGAGTCATACTATTCTTACATTTTGATTAAAATTGGACAACTAATCCATCCAAATCTGTTGTGAATGAGATTAAAATGATTGCATTCACAAATGAACCAGATTGAATTTAATTCAGATAAAATATGACCAAGGTTAGTTTTGATCTTGATTTAATTTGATTCATCTCTAAAGATAAACTTTCTTCTCCATCTTATTTGTGTCTGACAGAAGGAAGAGCAGTCTGACCGAGAGCGTTGGCAACACCTGGCAGACCTGGCAGACTTTGCTTTGGCCATGAAGGTCACCATCATGAATATCAACTACCAGTCATTCAACAACTTCATGCTGCGCATTGGTACATGTTCATACTTCACCAAGGGCTTGGGGGGAGCAAAAATGAAAAAAAAAAAAGTTTTACAACTACTACTGCTAGTCGTAGAGAAAATACAGACTAACAAAAGCTCAGATAGAGAATGAGGAGGCCAGTGGTTTCAGATTTGTTTTTGTTTGATTGTTTAAAACTTACAATAGCAATTTGACTTAAGGGAGAGCAAGGGCCAAAAAAAACATAGAAAACTAAAAGTGTTTACTAATCTTACCATCTAAATCTAAAACAAACCTGCATTATAAGCAACGTTAACAGGAGAAAATGGGTTCCCTATATTAAGGTAGCGAGCCTGTCTCTTTCAGGTGTCTTAGTTATACCATTAATCACTAGGGATGTCCCGGTACTACTTTTTCACTTCCGATACAAAACCGATATTGCATTCTTCAGTACTGACCTATACCGATATCAATCCGATACGATATCAGCACAAATCATACATATTTTACCTATTGTCTAGTGTGGAATGCATGAAAGCCTTGATCAAGTGTTATTACTCAAATCAGAGAACAAGAGCCAATAACAGTAAGTATGAAAAAATGACAATTTTTTTCTTAACCATTGGTTGCAAAAATGGGAACCTTAATGGACTGCTTATATCGTAAATTTTTGATGCGGTCCGATATAATCTGATACACTGTTTTTAGGCCGATATCGGATTACTCCCGATATCGATATCAGAATGGGCCATCCCTATTTATCACTGACTTAGTTTCAGTTATATAAAGTCCAGAAAATGAGCTTGCAGAGCAGGAGTTAGTAAGAGAACAAGGACCTTATCACCTGGGCTTTAAAGTTCAAGGAGCTACTTTCTCATCGTAATCCCTTTTCATCTTTTGCTCAGAGGACAGGCCTTCTGCTGTTTGTCATGGTAAAAGTGTTCTTTAAACTCTGGAACATAATCGAGAATGTTAGTTTTGATTAATTAATCAAATGACACCAGTTGATCTCAGTAAGTAGGGGTTTACATCCATCTAATATCCGTAAGAGTGGAGCTGGGGCGGGTTTTATACGTGGGCAGAATTTGCGGGAACGTGCGATCACATGAAGAGGTGGAGGGGAAGGAGGGACAAATGTGTTCATGCTAAGAAGTTTCTTAAAAACAAAGAAGAAAAAAACATAAATACAATAGTAAATGAACTATCATGACAGGATACCACAGAACAGTGCTACTCCCTCTTTTGTCCTGGCGGGGAATTGCTTTGCAACGCTCCCCAGGAGACTGAGAAGTCCGAGAGCAAAACGTCTCCATCCGTGCATACGTGTCTCTCCCTGGTGGAGCTGACAGAGAAGTATAAATTAGGCTTAAGACAACAAAAATTGATCCTCTCAACACTAGTGTTCCAACCCAAACCACAAAACTGTTAGTGCAGCTTCTGGTCAGCAGAGGGCTACAGAGTGCTGTACAATACAAAGTTGTTCAAGTTTCTGTCTCAAGAACCACTGAAATCACTTTGAAATAGACAGCTGCTAGGTGTTCCCTCTTTAGTGTTGCTTTAAAGACTGAAACTTTTATTTTTTGCAAAAATGTTGTTTACTAAAACTGGCTTCAACTTAAAATCGGTCTCACCCAAAAGACACACACACACACACACACACACACACACACACACACACCCACACACACACACACACACACACACACACACACACACACACACACACACACACACACACACAATGATTCTTAACGATTATTCTAACAAACCACAGTCCTGATCTCGTATATTTCCTGCAGGTCTAAATAAGGGCGGGGTGCTAGCAGGGGTCATCGGTGCACGCAAGCCTCACTATGACATCTGGGGCAACACTGTGAATGTGGCCAGTCGCATGGAGTCTACAGGGGTGATGGGAAATATTCAGGTACAGCTCTCATATTAATGACAAAGTTCTGAGTTATTGTTTTCATCTATTTTATGTATTCATTTTATTAAAGAGTAAGCATTAATTTTGTTGTTAAGCAGTGACAGCTGGTGAATTTTTATTTGGGTGGGGCACAGTTAAAGCCTCTTTCCGGAGTATTTCTCTTATCCGATGGCACCATCTAGTGGCTGACAAGCATATCACATAAAAGTCTGTTGCTTTGCTTTTTTAAGATGGCGACTTCACGTTTCTGTTTATAAATGTGCTTCTGTAGCTGACAAACGGAGCTAAAACACGCTGTTTTACGAGTTTTATTCTCATGTCATGTTGTGTTCTGATATATTTATATTTTAGAAACTTACTTGTCCGTGAAAAAGTCATCAACTCTGCATCAGCCGACGTATTCCTTAAATTTGAAGCAAATAAGTGGTAGTCTAACGCTATTGGTTAGTTCTGGTCGGCGTTCAGTTTTTTTTTGCATGGAGCTCTGCGGGGCAGGGGGCATGCTTAGCAAAAAAAATATATAAAAAAAGACAAATCGCTTACATTATATCACAGTTTATGATAAGACAATCACTTGTATGGATTTCTGACTAATTATACATAATTTCTGAATGGGGAAAACTCCGGAAAGCAGCTTTAAGCTGTTTAGGTGTTAGATGCGCTAACCACATATCACCACTAGGGGAGGCAAATTACCATTCTTATGATAGAATCCATATACAGGTCCTTCTCAAAAAATTTGCATATTGTGATAAAGTTCATTATTTTCTGTAATGTACTGATAAACATCAGACTCAGTGTTTCCCCTACGAATTTTTCCAGCTGTGGTGGTGGGGCCAGCGGGGGGGGGGGGGGGGGGGGGGCTTGGGCTTGGGGAGAAATTATGACACGTCTCTAAATAAAGTAAAATTATCTAGTGCAGAATGGAGCCAACCCATAGAACCCATAGATGCACTGATTTGATCTCATTTCAGAGAAAAATCGAACAGGTCAGATGCACCTAATAAATAAAATTACTAACAAACTCAGGAATCTGTTTCTTTGCTTCACTGTTCTGGTGCTGAAAATATCACTAATGCGGATCAAAGGAAATACACGGATGAATGCACCTCTTATTTATTATTTGGAGTCTACATTTACTGCAGCTGGCAGAGGCAGAGATTTTTTCTATTGATACAAGGAATTTACAGAATCGTTTTAAATTTTAATAGAGGAAGACTACAGGAGGGAGCGGTAAAATACAGGGGGTCCCCAGCAAAAACAAGAAACTTTACGAGTCTGATGAAACCCGCTGGTTTTCCATCAGGCAGTCACAGGGCAGCTCCAACGGCCCAGTGGCTGTGCTGGGTCAGTGTTTTCGAGCTCAGTCCAGTGTCGGTACAAGATCGGCTCGGGGTCCGTCGACTGCCGATGATGTCAAAGTAGTTGATTGGCTGAACATGAACCTTACGGAAGTACGTAATCACATTACATTGTTATCGCGTTACGTTGGTCCAGGCAAATCTTTCTGTTGGAAAGATGGACAACTTTTACAAAGAAATCCATCATTACCTCTTTGAAAATACACTTTTAGCATAGAGCTGCATGTATATTAGGGCTGAACGATTAACTGCATGTGCAATTAAATTGCGATGTGACAAAAGGAGATTTTCTAATCGCAAAGGCTGCAATTTGGCAGCGAGTGGTTAGCACAATGCTAATATACGTGGAAAAACCCATAGGAATGCTAATGCTAATATCACCGATTACATTCTTACAAATTATGAATTAGAAACGTGCCAAATGATTACTTTTGGAGTCTAGTAGAAAGTAAAACTACCATCAATCAAATAAGTACAGACAGGTATTTTAGTAAAGCCAGAAAACTTTTAACTCCAGAGTCCACTGCTTCCGCAGGTCCCCCAAGGTCTGGAATCGGTCCTTCTCCAAAATCTTCCTCAGGGTCCGGTCACCTCTTCTCGTTGTGCAGCGTTTTCTGCCACACTTTTTCCATCCCACAGACTTCCCACTGAGGTGCCTTGACACAGCACTCTGGGAACAGCCTATTCGCTCAGAAATTTCTTTCTGTGTCTTACCCTCTTGCTTGAGGGTGTCAATGATGGCCTTCTGGACAGCAGTCAGGTCGGCAGTCTTACCCATGATTGTGGTTTTGAGTAATGAACCAGGCTGGGAGTTTTTAAAAGCCTCAGGAATCTTTTGCAGGTGTTTAGAGTTAATTAGTTGATTCAGATGATTAGGTTAATAGCTCGTTTAGAGAACCTTTTCATGATATGCTAATTTTTTGAGATAGGAATTTTGGGTTTTCATGAGCTGTATGCCAAAATCATCAATATTAGAAACAATAAAAGGCTTGAACTACTTCAGTTGTGTGTAATGAATCTAATATATATAAAAGTCTAATGTTTATCAGTATATTACAGAGAATAATGAACTTTATCACAAAATGCAAATTTTTTGAGAAGGACCTGTAATCTACCTCAACAATGACACTCAATAAAAAGGCTGAAAAAAGGCTAAGAAAATTTCCCGTTCTGTCCTTGCCTGAGCTGAGAGTCCACCCTGCTGGTCTTCTGCTCATGTCTTCAAGGTCACTATACCCCTGCTCCCAAATACTATTCTTTGTATGCCAGTTAGCGTAGGTCTATGGTAGAGATTGCTGTGCTCAAACGGAACAGAAAATAAGTTATAGGATGATTCAGTCATGGTAAAAGTGTGAGTGAATATTTTTAGAGTACAATTAATAGCAAATTATACACAGCACCTACAGTCTGTATGATAAATGGATCCTTTAGTTTAATCTTAATATATATATATATATATATATATATATATATATATATATATATAATTTTAAAATATTATTAAAATTATTTTTTATGTATTGTAATTCCTATCTTTTTCCCCTTCCTGTGAGACTGGTGGGACGGTGCCCTAGCGTCCCCTATGGACAAGCCACCACTGCTGTGAAGGCAAAGCTGGGTCTGTGCTATGATGATCTCTAAATGCTGACTGCATACACTTTTATAGTTAGCAAGAGCTCCTAGATCGAGATACAATTTTTTTTTTTTTTTGCAGCCAGCCTTAGGAACATTTCTGTTCACACAATATTGGTGGATCAGATTCACAATTGAGGTGTTATTGAAGGGCAAAAAACTCCTCAGAAAGTCTAACGTTGATGATTTAAAACCTCCTGTTCTGTTCGACTGTAGCTTTCAAATCAGTCTTTGGCCTGTTTCCCTTGCAGGTTGTGGAGGACTGCTACAACATCTTGAAGGAGTATGGTTTCCGCTTTGTCAGGAGAGGGCCCATCTTCGTGAAGGGAAAAGGGGAACTCCTCACTTATTTCCTCAAAGGAAGAGACAAACAAGGCTCATTTATTAATGGCTCCTCTGTAACTCTGCCACACCAAGTGGTGGATAGCTGAGTATCACAACACACGTTCTTTTACTCTTCATCAGTCACTGTACAGAGTGCAGCAATATGCTGTAAAGGGAAATCGCTCAACAAAACTCAGTTTAAAAGCTAAAGTTCAGGAAACACCTTTATGAGTCAGCAGCTCGTTAAATATTTTATCATTTGGAAAAAGATCTAAAGTTCAGTCGGTCTATCCAATGAAACATGCTTACAGAGAAGTTATCTGGGCAATTTTGTTTGCAGTTGTGATGAGGAACATTGTTGATGCATTTTTATCCTGTTTTTTTAGGCTTCTCTGCTGGATTTGGTACTTGTTCCTGCCTACTGGTTCTGGATTACAGATTAATTTGTATTTACTGCATCTGGATCAGGGACTCATTCCCACCGACTTGTTTTGGATCAGGAACTATTTCCTACTAACACCTACTATCCAGAACTGGGTTGTGGTATATGGTTCTGGCACTCATAAGTTAGCAGGAACTCTTTCTCCCCTCACAGATCTGTAGTAAAGGCTGGTAAGCCCACTCACCAGACTTTTGTCTCAGTAAAAAACATCAGCCGACCACCAGATCTACTCTTCAAGCCTTCCAGATGTTCATGGCCTAACATTATTTTTATACCCACTATTTCAAACAGCACTTCCTACCAGAATAGCTAGTCGATTGAGCAATTAGGCCCATTAGGTGAAATCCTTCTCTTTCCTTTTTTGTCCTATTATGGTGAGATTTGAGGTAATACATTTCTTTAATTTTTTTTTCTCTGTCTACAAAATTAATCCTCCATCATTTTGTACCTACTGTTGCTACAAAAACAATAAAGAGGAAGAAGTGTCAACAAAAATAGAGTGAAAATCTGCAGCGGGAACCCAGATGTCCATTCAGGCTGAGTATTATATTATCAGGAGGGTCTGTGCTTGGAAATAGAGAAATGTTGACAAGCTACATGGCTGATAGCACAATGAAACAGATTTTTATATATTCCATAATCTCTGTTACATACGCTCCCCTTTATGGCCACTGGATGGCCTTAGCTGCTCCCTCCTCACTTGGCTTCGTCCCCCAGCTGTGCGTAATCACTCACTCAGAGCTCAGCTGGTAAAAAGCTCCCCCGGGCATTCAGTGAGTGAGAAGGTACAGGGACGTGTGGGCACAAAGGTGTTCAGACCTCTCTCTTCTCCTCGAGTGCTTGGTTGTTAGCTTCATCCGTATTCTCGTTGGTAAACTCGTTAGGATTGACTTTTAGTAACCTTGACCGTAGACGGCCCTTTGACTTTGATTTTGGCTGTGCCCGAGCATCTCTGCCTTTCAGGACTGCACTTGTTTTGTTTAGGATTGCTAGTAAGAGTATTTCAGTTTGTTAGTTTCTTTCCCCCCAAAGCCCCTTTTGGCCTGGCGCTTTCAGTTAGTCTTTTCCTGTTATATTTAGATATTTCGGTTTTCGGGTACTTAGTGAGCTGACACTTGTTGTCCCTACTTTGTGTTTGTTAAATAAAATCCTTTGTTTTAGAGACACAACTACTCTGTTATTGTTAATCCCACACACATCATCGCTCCCTCCTCCCTATCACTCCCAGAGAGCCGAGGGACGTAACAATCTCATCCAATCTTACATTTTGTTCACATTTAAGATGAGGTGATTGTTCCATCATTCCACATCCCCTCCTTTGTCCAGACTACTATATTTCTGATGCTCCTTCTGCTTGAAGTCAGTGATGTTCTTAATCTTTTACCACACATTTGTTACATTGTTCTGCTGGGGTTTGATGTCCAGTCTTTTCTTAGTATTCTTGAGTTTGAGTTGCTTTTGTGTATTTCTCAAACTTTCCGGTATACTCCATCAAGGCTCATGTTACTTATTAACAGTTCCTTCAGGTATTTGGTGATCCAGGGTTAGTTAGTTACCTCACTGTTTCGGTGGGTGTGATTTTTTTTTGCACCATTAGGTTTAAATCAGGGATGTCCCATTCCGATATTGCTATCGGCCCAAAAACACTGTATCGGAATGTATCGGACTGAATCAAAAATCTCTGATATTAGCAGTACGTTCTGCTTTAAATTCCATTCCAGCAATTCTATCCAGCAGTGCCCAGATCCAGCATGCAAAGTCCATGTGATCAGAACAGTGTGTGCTAGCAAAGTAGCAAGGAACAATGTCGGCCATGTGGATGTATTTTTTGTTAAAGTCCGACAAAGACAGTTTGGCTCAGTGCAACACTTGTCATGCAACAGTTTCTCGTGGTGGAACAGAACTGGGGAAGATTAATACGTCCAACCCCGTCGTGCTTTTGATGCAGGATCGCAAAACATTGCATGAGGATATTTTATACTTACTGTTGCTGGCTTTTGTTTTCTGTTTGAGTAATGCCACTTGATCAAGCCTTTCTACATTCCACACTATGAGATAGGTAAAGGTATGTATGATTTGCGCTGATATTGTATCGGACTGCTATCGGTATTGGTGAATACCGGAGGATGCAGTATCGGTATTGTATCGGAAGTAAAAAAAAAGTTGTATGGAGGCATCCTTAATTTGAATAGTCAATCTCACACTCAGTCATGGCATTGATGCCATCTCCACGTGGTCACAGAGGGCATCCCAGTCTTGTTGGAGTTAAAGATATGATCTTGCAGCAATGTGTCTGTGAAACACATCACTGATAGACCGGCTAGATCGTCATCAGCATTTCAAGTTTTTTCGTATAATTTGTGAGGGGTTTCATATTGGTTTAAAACGGTGACAGTTTGTTTTGCTTAGATTAGCCAGTAATAAGTCAGACTTATTTCTGGTAAGGTTTGAACTCCTGGGTTCCTCAGGTTCCTTAGGTTCTGTTCAGAACTTTAGTGGACTGTGTTGAGGTGAAACCAAGTAGCAAAGGTTCTCGGGTTTGAAGGAATTTGGATTGAATCACTGCTTTAACAGATGATGAGGTTCTCTTGGCCTGGTTGAACCAAGATCTCTAGTCGGCACTATTAGGCCGGGAACAAGGAGCATAAGTCATGCCCATCTATTTCTAGACGATGGGTCCCCGGAACAAAGAAAAAAATGAATGCAAGTCAATGGGGCTATAAAAGCTATTTTCTAATCCCGTTTGATATGTGGGGTTAAACTAGACCAAACATGGCATCAATAGATTAGTAACTGGTTAATTTTCAGTAGCCTGGCCTACCAGACTCTTCCTCTGTTTAATTTTGCACAGAGAAAGGGTCTGGGAACTCTTATTCAAATAACCCCACCCCGTGACAATTCTAACCGAACCAATCAGCGCTGAGTAGCATACGTTACACACCACAACACCGAGTTTGTTATAAACATGGCGACTGAAGTGGAGTTCACTGCGGCTCTTTCTTCTGTTCTAAATGACTTGGACACATCTTTAAAACAAGTAGAAGCGCTAAAAGCCTTTCTTCTAAAGAAAGATGTTTGCGCTGTTGCCAGACGCCATTTTTGACTGCAGCTAAAAAACTACAGCGTCGCGGACGTCACACACAGCGACGCTCAGTTTCTCATAAACAACGAAGACAGCGGCAGAGTTCGCTGCAGCTCTTTCTTCTGTTCTAAATGACTTGACTGTCTTTAAGCCCACAACAAGTAGAAAGCGCTAAAAGCCTTTCTTCTAAAAAATAAAAGATGTTTGCGCCGTCGCCAGATGCCATTTTTTGCTACAGCTAAAAAACTACAGCGTTGCGTGGTACAGTCGGCATTTCCATCTTTTTTCTAATTGGTTATTTTTGAGCTGCCTAGTCCCGCCCCTCATGTGCCTCTCTGCCTGTGAGTTACCAGACTTTTTCTGTGCAGAAGGACGAGTCTGGCAGGCCAGGCAAAATTTTCAGATCATGACAGAAAAAAAAAGACAGTAGCTGTATCATAGATCAGTGTTTATCAGCCCTGGTCCTGAGGACCCACCTCATGTTGCCCTTTCAAACACCAATATTTCTCTGCTGCTACACACCTAATATGGCGAGTCATGTATGAGTCATTAACTAGCATCTTCAGCAATTGATGTCCTCCTGAGGATGCAATTCAAATATGTAAATCGGGTGTGCTGAAGCAGAGACATGGGAAATACGTAGAACAGTGAGTCCTGCGGACCAGGGTTGGGGAACACTGTCGTAGATGGTATGAAAAACGTCTAAACCAGAGACGCAGTGACCACGGCAAGCTTGTTTTGTCAACTCCGTCTACTGGTTATTGGTATGTTGCAGCTTTTGAACATGTTGCATTAATTTACGGGGATGTGCACAAATGACAATGACATTGCAAGTTATGCAAGCTAGTCATTTTAAACATTTGTACGCATCATTAAGAAGCAAGTGTTACCCATTCCCAATACTCGCACTTCCACACTTGCACCCTTCAATTGCTCGATCCTGCCCAGAGATGCGTAGGGTGTGCCGATTCTCAAGTGCAGAAGTTGATCTCGTCCCTTTTGTACCCTTGATCTGCACTTCGCCTAAGTCCGCATCGATGCAGACTTGGGTGAAGTGTATTACCCACAATCCTTTGCTGTGAGAGAAAAGGCTCAAGTGACTTTTCTGAAAATATGTATTTTCAAATGAAAGTAGTTCATTTTAGGATGATTACTTGATGCTCTAAATGTTTTAGACAAAGCAGCAATGCATGTAAGTTAATTTCAAAAATTTGTTTGGTTGTTGGTTTAAAAAATTTTTTTTTAAAGTAGCACAGCGACCATCATCCCGGCATGCATTGCAGTCGATGACACAATGCTCCCTGTCCCAATTCTGCAATTATTTGCACACTTGTGCACCACACACTCAAAGCCTTACTTCCTCTTAAGTGCACTTCACAGAAGACTGTAGGGTGCAGTGCGAATATTGGGATTAGGCCTATGTTTCTGAACTTACCCCTTCTTTCCACCAGACATGAAAGCTCCGCAAAGCGTACTATGTGGACAGGTTCCTTTCCACCAACAGCAAAGTCTAACGTTTTGGACATGCCCCTGAAGCAAGGGGACGAAATGATTAAATTTCGAATATATTGTTTTACGAGAAACACTTCCAAAACACATCAAACTCTGCAGACCGGACAGGAAGTCAAACACAAAAGCACTGTAAGACATCCGGAAACTTTAAAAATAAATGTCACATGCAAATAAACGTACGTCATTTAATGTGAAACCCCCGTAGCTGATGTAAACAGCTTAAATCATGCATGGTGTTTTAATCCCCCTGTGATTTTGTGACTTGGCAAGACCAGCAATGCTTTCACTCCCGTTTTGCATCTGAGTCGCTCACGGTGGGAAGGGAGCTCACAGGTAAAATGCGACTTTCACATCCGATGGGGGTTAGAGAGGTTTAATGTGAAGCAGTAGTGATGAAGATGAACACCTCAGAACTTTTGCTTCCAGGTCAAGTTTGGGAATGAGTCACTAGTTTTGTTGGAGGAGTTTAAGGATCTTAATAGGATGCAGAATAGCTTCTGCATTGATGGACTCTGTACTATAGTGATAAGAGAGTTAGTTAAATGGCGAGGCTGCACCTCAACCAAAATGTAAAAAAAAAAACTGTCAGCAGCAGGAAGGACAATCTCACCAATAAACTGTTTAAAGAATGAGGATGAAAAATCCTCTTGAATATCTTGTTTTTCACATGTGATGTGAGCACTGAGAATCAGTCCTACGTTTTGAAGTTGCCATGTTTTAACTTCTGAGCTCAGGGAGGCTTCAAGGAATGACTCTGGAAACTAAGAACCGTGTAGATTATTTCCAATCAACACTTTACCTTCAGCACTATTTATTTATTACATAAAGGGAAGGATATCGTTGGCAGCTGGGCAGATGGGTCTAATGACACCACTCCCCAAGAGTAATGAACAGTTTGCCTAACCACCCCATTACCCTTTTTAAATGAAGATTTCACCTGCATTACTTTTACTTTAAGATGTAATGATAAAAACTTTTTGAAATGAGGAAAGTGCAGAGATTGGTTTCTGTCTGTATATTGAATATTTTGGAATATATTTTTGTTTGTTTGCTTGTTTCCTTGGTCAACCTAAATGTAAAATGTTAACTACGAAACTGACTTTTACACATCCAGGTAACATCTAAACTGGAAGAGATTAAATACTGGAGCGGAAATGTGTCACCTCTGTTTGTGATCATGGGTTTTAGTTACACTAAATTATTTTTGGACTCAGCAGGGCAGAATGGACTAAAGATGGTGTCAGATTTGGTGCTCCATGACTGGAAATTTGCACTCAGCGTTAGAGTTTCTGTGAACAAGAATATTAGATATCTAGCCAATGAACTTTGCCCATCCTGTGGAGTTTATTCCAATTTTTGTTTATAAGTTGAAGAATTTCTATCTTTTAAGTTGATTGTTGTCATTAAACCGATGAAGACAAGCGTGTCATTATTTCATCTACCACACTGATTCTGTTTATTTCTGTGGAGTGATTCCATCTGAATGGTTAAAACAAAGATTACACACTCAAGCAAAGGACTCGAAAAGACAGTCAGACACAAGAAGACATTCAAAAGTCTGGACCTAACACCTGATCAGAAGACAGGTGTGGGTCAGAACAAGAAAAACAAAAAGCAGGAGGATCCGTCAAGCAGCAGGTGAGAGGCAGAAGTCTGTACAAATCCCGTTCAAGGGTCAGAGGTTATTGAGATCACTGAGAAAGAGCGAGGCAAGGTGGGAGAATCCATGGGACACAAGGTTGTGAACATTGAGGCAGGTACAGAACAAAGGCTGGATATCTTCTGGCAAAGGCTTTCAAAGCAGACACTGGATGGTTGGATGAGGCTTCTATGGCTGGAGGAACTGGGCTGATGGTGTAAGCAGGTTGGGGGTGGGGGGTAATGAAAAGGGTTAATGAAAGGCCACCCAGCCCCTATCGTCCCTTTTGCCAGAATATTCCACTTGCAACTTCAGAGTTGCCCGTCCAGTTTGTTGGACTTAGAAACAAATGGAGCCGACATACCTGGCCAGCATGTTTCCTTGCATGTTTTAGATCATGAACACAGCTGATTTGTTTAATTTAGTGATGAATGACTCCTGTAGACACTAATGAATGCTGGGGAGACATTTCAGGTGTTAGATTAAGGTGTTAAAAGACAAACGCACAGCGAGGTGATAGATTTTGATTTTTGTTCTAAGAAACAGACACAAGGGGGTGCTAAAAGCAAGCCAAATTGCCTAGTCTCTATAGGTATTGCTGCTTTGCCACACCTCCAATTTTTCACCCTAAAAACGTGATTGTGTGAGGTATGACAGCTAATAGTTAAGACGTTTAAGTTTTATGGTAGAATGTTACATCCAAGAGTAGAGTTAAACTGGAGTTAACTGTTACACTCTATAGCACCACATAGTATGGATTTGTTGTCCTCTGGTGGACACTAGTTGTAACTACAGCTCTCATATATCTAAACGACACAACTCATCACTTCCCATAGATCATTTCAAAATAAAAATACCACTTAAAATTTTAATTTCTTGTAAACTATTACAAAATAACAGGCTACGGCTTTTGTTGTTTTGGCAGCAGGGGACTTTGCTCTAACCGTCTCTTTTCCTTATTTCTCTAAAAACAATTTGTGTTAATGTAACTGTTAAACACAATGGTTGTGTGGAATAAAAATGCTAAATCTAGCTAGCTATAGTGCTACAAACTCTAAGATTTTAATTGAATTTTTATGAATGCAGAGGGGTATTATCACCTACCAGTGGTGCCGAGTTGGAGCTACACCCTGGTTCTCTTAAACCAGTGGTTCGCAAAATAGGAGTCAGGAACCCACAGCGCATCACAAAGACATACACAAGGAGTTTTGAGATGGTTTCAACAAATGAGAAAAAATTTGAGAAACAATTGCTGAAGCTATTTTTCTGGAACAGTTGTTACAAAAAACCAACAAAATAGTCATAAATGGATATAAGTGAATATGAGCTAAATCAAATTCCATTTTTGGTTCTTTTTTAAACACAGATAAGGGTTTTCTTTACCTTGCTGACGTTTCGTTTGCGGCTGCAAACATCCTCAGAGCTGATGCTGATGGTGGCGTCAATTCCTACTCCGTTTATCCGCGGGCAGCAGAGGGCATTGTCGCCCTCTGCTGCCCGCTCTCCCCTCTCCAATGATGCAGTCCCATGCGCGATCCAATAAGTAAACTCCATCGTCTCTGCTCATGGTCCCACATCCACGTCTCCTTATCTCTATAGCTTCCTTTATCCATCTTTTATATTTCTGTTGTTCGGTGTTTATGATCCTTGTGATGTCCCAGTCCATTATGTGGTTTTCTCTTGTGCAGTGATCTGTTACGGCTAACTTCTTTATTGTGCTTTCTGCTTCTTGTTTTGCTGCTCTTGTGTGTCTTCGACTTGTTTCTTTCTCACACTCCTTTCTATGTTCTATTGTTCGTGTGTTTAGTTCGCGTCCGGTTTCTCCTATGTATGTTTTATTGGAGAGCGGGCAGCAGAGGGCGACAACGTCCTCTGCTGCCCGCAGATAAATGGAGTAGGAAGTGATGCCACCATCAGCGACAGCTCTGAGGATGTTTGCAGCCACAAAGGAAACGTCAGCAAGGTAAAGAAAAAACCTTATTTGTGTTTAAAAAAAGAACCACAAATGGAATTTGAAGACAAACACATGGCACCCCCCCCCCCCCCCCCCCAACTCACTGATGGTAAGCAGTAGTTACGTCCTTCCTTCCTTTGTTTTGAAAGGAGAAAAAATTGACAATACTTCAGTCAGCTGGATGTGAAATAAGTGTGACAGTGTGAGCGTCCTGTCACAATGTCCCGACTGATCATGCACCCTGGCTACTTGGCCAAGGGGATGTCCCTTTGGCTGACTGGTTTGAGCGCATGACTCTCTCCCGGGAGTCTGGGGATCGAATCCCGCCCGGGCCCTCTTTTATCCACCTTGCCACGTTTCAGTATAACATTCCTTCCAAAAGGACTTGTTGAGGGTCTGCCCTCATGAGGAAATTACTGTGCAGTGATTTTCTCTAAAAAAAACTGTGTCAAATTGCTCTGAAAGAGCATATTCCATCATCAGCGCCAGAGACACTTCATTTCCCATGATGCTTTGCACACGGAAACAATGTGATGACGTCACCGCCAAGGCGGAGCACGAACCCACAACAGCCAGCTCAAAACTATAAATTTCAGCGAAAAACGAAACTTAGGGTTCTTTTGTACCAGTTGTACTGGCGTGAAGGAAATGATTACTGACTACGGCTCCGGATAACGTGTGCACGAGGCCTGGGGGCTTGAAGAGTGCGAACACCGAGCCGCTGGATAGCAACTCCATCAAACCGACGGAGAGACACTAAAGTGGAAGACGCAGAACTGTGGAGGAAAAGCGTAAAATCACATCTGACCAGCGAACTTCAAAGGGACACCTTTGCTTCGCTCAGAGAGGGTTTTGCTCACGCAAGTTTATTTCATTTTTACTCTTATCTTTCCCGTTCTTCTAGACCAAAATAAGCGATCACCGCGGATCGTTTAAAAGTAGCTCCGGTTTTTCTCTTTTTCGTAACCAAATACGTCATATCTCTACCGTGAAGTAAGGTCTGTTTGTTTATTATTTAAATATCTTTAGTCGTCAGCTGTGGCCAGGCTGGTTGACTTCTCTTTTAGATTAAATAATTTACGAGTGATCTTTGTTGTTTGTTAACTTTTGAAGTGTTTAAGTTCAGTTTAACTGTAATTTTAAGTCACTAAGAGCAAGCTAATTCTGTTGTCTGCATTTGAGAGAGAAAAAGTCACAGCTCACACATCTCAAGGGCACCCCCCCCCCCCCCCCCCCCACACACGCACCTGCTCCGGGAAAACAAAGCATTCATTCACACACACATTTGATTACACATACACACACACATCTCCAATTATATCAAATTGTCTTACATTATTATCCCTTGTTTAATTAAATGTTATAAAATTCAGATTTTGCCTCCCGTGACTTGCTTGTGTCGGTGTGAAAATCTCTGCTCCTAGAAGATTCCACAAACTTTAAGAAAGACTGATAAGGGTTTGGATTCAATTTTTCCCCAGTTAAAAGGGGAATGGTGCCCCGAAGATATCTAATTGTATCTTAATTAATTAATACATCCGTAAATATTCCCATATTTACAGAATTTATTGAAGAATCCAAAAGTAAGCAAAAGCTTACAAATTATTCGCTTACCTCATAACCCCAACAGACTCTTGGGATTTTCTCACTGTAAAATTCTCACTATAGTTTTACATACTGCACCTTTAATATCAGTAATTCATTTAATCCATCTAAACTTTAGGCTCAGGAACCCTTTGCAGGTTTTTTGGAATAATTAGCTGATTAGAGTGTGACACTTTGAGCCTAGAATATTGAACCTTTTCACAATATTTTACTTATCTGTGATTTTGAATGTGGGGTTTTCATAAGCTGTAAGCCACAATCATCACAATTATAACAAATAAAGGCTTGAAATATCTGGATTTGGATGGATCACCTATGTTAGTTAAATTTTTAATAACTAAAATAAATGTACTTTGGTACAATATTCTATTTTTTCATGTGTAAATGTGTAAACTGCTGCAATAAACCCGAAGAGAGATTTAAATTAAAAAAAATTGTGATCTATTTAGAATCAGATAAATAGAATACAATCAAATTAATAGAATATAGTAAAATATCTGACCAAAATAAACCACACGACAGTCAGTAATTAGTTAAACAGCGGAGTGTGACCTGTGACCTCTGCCTTTTAGAAATGTGTCCATGAACAAATGCAACCTTGTGATGAAAGTAGAATGAAGACACCAGCACATCCTTTGGGTCCCTTATAAGATAACCCACAAGATGTGTCATCAGAAATTAAGTTTCAAAATTAGAAATGCACACATGAACATAGGATGCCAAATGTAAAAGTTCAATGTGTGTACAGTGTCTTACTAAAGTATTCATAACCCATTAGCTTTTACACATTTTAACACCTTACAACAACAATCAAACTAACTTTATGTTTTTAATGAGATCTTCTGTGATAGGCCAACACTAAGTTGCACGCAAATGTTAAGTGGAATGAAACTGATTTTAAGCAAATAATCTGAAAAGCATGGCCTTCAATTTTTTTTGATCGGGACTGTATGATTGGGCCAGACCTGGTGCCGGTGAAGGAAATAACTAATAAGCTGCAGACCCGATTGTGTCAACGGGCCACGATTCATCACAGACATGCAGCACAGCTGACTTTCTTTAGTTGAACCAAAGCCAAAGGTGTTGGTGTTTAACAGCAGGATCTTCTGGTTTTAAGGGCCACTCACATGATAAAGAAAGAAAAACGAGTTGGAATTTCTGTAGGACCACCGGGCAAATACCAGATCAGTCCCTACTGTGGCCTGACTCCTGCTTCTCAGACATTCTAGGTCATTGAGGGCTGGATCTTTCAGAACAATAGCCAGTAAAATATTATTATTAAAAATTTAATAACCTACGTACACCCTAGCCCACCTCTGGTGTCCAGTCAGGCCTGTCAGTTTGAGCATTGCCCAGGTCACAGTGTAGATGTCATATAACCCTTTTATTGTACCACCTCACAAGATTCTAGAGGAAAATGGAGCATTAAAAAAGGTGAACTTGTGAATAATGTGAATGAGTGACTTTAACCCACAACCTAAGCCTAAACTTTGACCTTTCAGTCTTCTATGCATTATTATTTTTATTTAATATCATAATAAATCCTGATCCGTAGTATTGTTAATAATAAAAAAGAGGTGCCACACACTAACTGACTTGGAATCAGCAGTGTGTCCACTCTGACGATTTATTTCACATTTATTATTATTTAATTTTCATATCTAATTTGTTTAGATGAGACTTTCTTCTTTCATCTCCTGTGTTCTTTCATGTTTGTGTATGACTATGTTTGTTACTCAGACAAATACAATGGTAAAGAATCTTCTCGTAGCCAGTTTGAAGGCTGGACTTTTCCTTGTCACGTTTTGTTGTTTTCAGCCATTCGGTGGTAAATTTGCTGGTTTTCCTGAGGTCATGGTCTTGTTCCATGTCCAAGTAATTATAAGTCTTTAAAATAGTGAAAGAAAATGTAATGAAGTAATTTACAATACATAACATTTTTCGTTGCATGACTTTAACAGAGTAATTGCATCTTGGCAACAGCTCTATCATTGGAACCGTACAGTAATCCTGTTGGGAGTCTTTTTGGACCAGACTGGTTTTTCTGCATCTCGTGCTATGCTTGACAGCACCTCCAACTGTTATGAGCATGTCTGGGCATGAGCTCTTGGGGGTAAAAGACTTGCGGTCCTTGATTGTCACGCTAGTAATGGGAACTCCGGCTCTTCTAAGAGAACCTGTTTTTACGGCTCGGCTCACTAAAATGAGCCGGCTATTTCAGCTCTCAAAGGGCTCCTCACATTTTTTGTTTTTTAAATTAATTTACCACCAGAAAATTATGTAAAATGTGAATGAAACTACTGACCAGTCTACAAACTTACATTAAATCAAATTTTTATTATTTCAATGGAGACTAGGCAGAGTGAAATGTCTCCCCAAGCGTCATCATCATCTACAGAAGAGATTCATCACCAAATCAAACATATCAGATGTGTTCATGATCTAAAACATGCAGGAAATGTGTTGGAAGCAAACTGCAGTGTCTGGTATGTCAGCTAAACAGAGGCCCGCCACTCTGAAGTTGCAAGGGCGGTGGGGTCTGAGAGGCTTTTCATTAACCCTGTGAAGGGTCATTTTAGCACATATTGGCTCAATAAAATTATTAAAAAATATCTAAAAGTTGTATCGCATACCTTTAAATTACTTCTAACTATCCAACCCTAAACAGAGTTCAACAAAACACATTTTAAATAACAAACATTTACTCTGTACGTAAAATTTTTTGACTTAACTATTGACAGGTAAACAACTTAGAAAAGCTGAGATAATCACACAATAAAATTACTTAAGCCTGCTTGATATTTTTGTTTCGCTTAGGCCATGCTCCTCCTTTGAATTGTCAATATTGGTAAAATGTCAATCAATCAATAAATCAATCAAACTTTAATTTGTATAGCACTTTCTATCATCCTCAAGGGAGACCCAAAGCGCTGAACACTGCACAAATAAAAGATAGAAAACAAGACACCAGTAAAACTAGGATCAGAAAACAAGGTCAATAAAAAGCGAACAATAAAAGAAAACTATTAGAAACAGATAAAACCAGTCACTGAGCAGATTAGGTGTATGCCAAACGATAAACATGAGTCTTCAAGTGACTCTTAAAAGCAGCCGATGATGGAGACAGCATAATGTTAAGGGGTAACTTGTTCCAGTCCTGGGCCTGAAGCAGATGGTAAGCAGGAACTGATCCACGCAGCGCAATGACCGGGTACATGCTTTTTTAACAGATCCCCAAGTTATGGGGGGCACTGCCCTGAAAGAACTCAAAGACAAGTAAAATGAGTTTATACTGGGCTCGATAAGAGACCGGAAGCCAATGGAGCATTGCCAGCACAGGACTAATATGGTCCCATTTTTCAGACCCTGCCAAAAACCTAGCTGCACTGTTCTGCACCAGTTGCAGGCTTTGTAGAGCAGTCGGACCGAACCCAGCATAGAGTGAGTTACAGTGGTCCAGCCTTGATATCGCAAAGGCATGGAGTACTCGCTTCAAGTGGGTCGTTGACAGCAACGGCTTGATTTTGGCTAGGCGACGCAAATGTAGCTGCATTTTCTGCTTTAACCCTTCCACTGTCTTTATGGGTGACCCCGCGAGGAAAGTTGACCATTGAGCAGGATTGATGGTTTATCCCTTGAGGTCCATGTGACGGGTGAGGTGGTGCTCACTCCTCACCCCTGCTATTTACCTCATGTCCACTTCTGTTTATCCCGCAGATAAACAGAAGTGATGCCACCAACATTGGCGTTTGCTCTGACGAAGGCAGCAGTAGACGTCAAAACATGTCAGCAAAGGTAAAAACAAGATCGTTTTGCTCTATGAAGAACCACACAATATTAAATTGGATAAAACACACAGAACGCACGTAACAAAGCTCTTGGTAGTATTTACAGTTATGAGAGAGTTTATTTAAGAAATGTAAGTCCGGTTCAACATCATTTAGCATTTTGTTAGGTTCTCATTTGTTAGTATATCATTATCATCAATATTAGTAATTATTTCTAATTCTGACTCCTGACTATATGTACCCTTGTTATCTGATAAGGAAATATCACTAAGTGGAATGTTTCTCATGATAAAGATGGTTTGGTAACTTTTATATTATGTGTACTTATCAGTTCTGAACATCCCTTGATCTGAAGAACTTTGGACTGTTCTGGAGTTCTTGATGAAAACTCTGTAATCCGACATCCAAGTTGCTTGGATGTTGTTTTGTTTGCGCAATAGTCGAACTTGTCGGGTAAGGTCAGAGTTTTTCTTTGTCAAGTGTTCGTTTATGTACACACGTCCCTTTTAAATTTACCTGCTTGAGTAGTGATTTTTCCCTCCTGTTTGCAATTCTCAGAATAATTCTTGGTTTGAGTGGCCTACCCTTATGTGGATGGCTGGCTTCAGTCTTTGTTAATCTTCCGCCAGGCATAAACACGTGGCTTCACATCTAATCCTGTGATGCTTAGATCATTCATTTGAGTACATTGTTCCAAATTAGACAAGCGATTTTCTAAAGCAGGTAATTTTTGTTAGATTTCTTTTTGAAGGTCTTTCAGTTCACACATCAGATCCATTTTAGTTTGTTGTGTTGATATTTTTGTGTGTAAGAAGTTAAGAAATTAAGTTTTTTTTAATCCTGTTTTTATTACATTGGTTTTCTTCTGCCCTATCTCAGATTGCTTTAATAAATGTAGTAGGGCCTGACCCACCTTTACTCCAGTCCTCAGCAGATCTTCTTCTTCTTCTTCTTGTTTAATGGCGGGTGGCAACCAACTTTCAGGTGCATTTCCACCACCTACTGAATGGGAGTGCGAGTTGAACTCAGCAGATCTCATCACAGCAGCAGATATAGGCCCACTGACTGATTACAAGATTGTAGACACCTGGGATGCTAATTAGTGGACACACCTTATTTTCAGTCTTTTCTAGGGGTACCATCATTTTTGTCCTGGTCTGTTCTATGAGTTTATTTTTTAAATAAAAGACTGAAAAGCCTTGTCTGACTTTCATTGGTTACATTTCATAAAATATAATTATTACTCTTGTCAGAATCAAGTTACTTCTGTGACCTTTGTGGGGTTTTCTTTCATAGATCAAAGGGCACCAATAATTTAGTCCGCTTCTGTATTTGCAAATAATGATGGAAAATAAGCATTTAGTCAATAACTAAAATCCATCTCAATACTTTTTTGTATTTGTTGGATCCAAAACATGCATGCATGCCCTGTGATTGACATCAGTATTTAAGCGGATGTGGCTAATGCTGAGAGGCGCTAAATTCAAACTGCATGGGGCTCTAAGGGACGGGATAGGCAAAAAAAAAATGAAAAATGAAAAAATTAATTAAATAAATAAATTGACATATTGGCTACATGATATCACAGTAAATGGTAAGACTATGAATTTATTTCTACAACTTCACACATAATTCCTGAAGGGGGAAACAGCAACAGGGAGCAAAAGTAAGAAAACAAACATAATAATGCAAAAGCTGCAAAAAACATTTTCCTTTTAGATATTTGGTTTATTATTTGTTTTGTTCCAAACGTCAAATAGTGTCGACATTAAATGGTAGCCACACGTGATCATTCTACATCATCAGCACAATATCTGTTTATTAGCTGTTCTGACTTTCGCCTGAGAAACAAACAAAATCATCTCCCCCACAATAAATTACATTTAAAACACACATTTTCAATCATCTTTAGGATTTTTCAGTCTTGAGAACTTTTTCATTTCTGTTAGATAATATTATAAGAGGTCTTTTATCCTATTTTTCTGCTATTAAAATCAAGTAACCATAAAATTAGCTGCAGATAGGATGGCTATAGTAGATACGTAGAAGCTTCAGATGTTGCTCATTCCAGACTCCATGGCAGAGAGAAGTCCTCTCCCTCCAACTCTTTGTGGATGACTGACTCGAAGCGGGTCAGTTGTTGTGAGTCAAAGTGGTTTTTCCAGTCTCCAGTGGTTCCTGTCACAAAACGTCAACAAAAAAGTCAAGGAAATGTTTACAAAATGTCTTTCTCTGTAAGTCTACCCTATATTTTCATTAGACACAGGTGATTGATGCGTTAAACATCTATAACCACAGAGTTCAAATTCTCAGTGGGCAGAGAACATGAAGACACAAAAACAGATTGAAGTCGAATGATGTGTAAAGCTACTAAATTAAAAATAAGTAACAAATTCTTTCTTTCCAAAGCAAAATATAAATAGATTCATCACCCAGTAGTCGTTTGGATTTGGATACAAAGAAAAATGCAGGTGCTGGTCATAAAATAAGAATATAATGAAAAAGTTGATTTATTTCACTAATTCCATTCAAAAACTGAAACTTGTCTATTAGATTCATTCATTACACACAGACTGATATATTTCAAATGTTTATTTCTTATCATTTTGATGATTATAACTGACCACTAATGATAATCCCAAATTCAGTATCTCAGAATATTGGAATATGGTGAAAAGGTTAAATATTGAAGACCTCTGATGCCACACTCTAATCATCTGATTAACTCACAGCACCTGCAAAAGCCTTTAAATGGTCTCTCAGTCTAGTTCTGTAGGATACACAATCAAGGGGAAAACTGCTGAGTTGACAGTTGTCTAAAAGATGACCATCGACACCTTGCACAAGGAGGGCAAGACACAACAGGTCATTGTTAAAGAGACTGGCTGTTCACAGAGCTCTGTGTCCAAGAACAGAGAGGTGAAGGGAAGGACAAGATGTGGTGCACAACCAACAGGGATAACTGCACCCTGGAGTGGAGTGTGAAACAAAACCCATTAAAAATGTGGGGAAGATTCACAAAGAGTGGACTGCAGCTGGAGTCAGGTCTTCAAGAACGACCGCACAGACGTATGCAAGACATGGATTCAGCTGTCGCTCTCCTTGTGTCATGCCACTCTTGAACAAGAGACAGCATCAGAAGCGTCTCACCTGGGCTAAAGACAAGAAGGACTGGACTGCTGCTGAGTGGTCCAAAGTTATGTTCACTGATGAAAATAAATGTTGTAAAAGGTCCCAGAGTCTGGAGGAAGAGAGGAGAGGCAAATAATCCATGATGCTCAAAGTCCAGTGTAAAGTTTCCACAGTCAGTGATGGTTTGAGGTGCCGTGTTATCTGCTGGTATTGGTCCGTCGTGTTTTCTGAGGTCAAAGGTCAACGCAGCCATCTACCAAGATGCTTCCTGCTGCTGACCGACTTTATGAAGATGCAGATTTAATTTTCTAACAGGACTCAGCACCTGCACACAGTGCAGCTACCAGTACCTGGTTTAAGTACCATGGCACCTTAACCCCATAGAACATCTATGGGGTATTGTGAAAAGGAACAGGCCATACGCCAGACCCAACAGTTCAGAAGAGCTGAAGGCCACTATCAGGGCAACATGGGCTCTCATAACACCTGAACAGTGCCACAGACTGATCGACTCCATGCCGCGCAGCAATAATCCAGACCAAAGGACCCTCAAATACATATCGAGTGCTGTACATGCTCATACTTTTGTTCATACTTTTTCATTTAATTTCTAAAGTTTCTTTTATTACGTTGGTCTTAATTGATGTTCTAATTTTCTGAGGTACTGAATTTGGGATTTTCATCAATTGTCAGTTATAATCATCAAAATTAAAGAAACAAACATATATCAGTCTGTGTGTAGTTAATGAACCTAATATACAAATTTCACTTTTTGAATTGAATTACTGAATTTAATCAACGTTATCATGGTATTCTAATTTCATACAGTATAGACAGGAGTTACCACCTCTGGTTTGCTACACCGCCAACAATGCATTAAACTAAAATTAAACTATACAAATGTTGAATGTATTTGTTACAAAAGCAGAATCCAACAACTTATGTAAAATACTTCAATATGTCGTTGGTACATGGATGTAGTTTGGGGGGAAACATGACCCCTAACCCCCCCCCCCCCCCCCCCCCAAGCCAATTTTTGTCCCCTGCACTTTTTACCATCCAAAAACAATATTACGCTGTATTTAATAGACACTGGTTGAGTACTAGGACCAAGCGGAAAACAACCGCTTGTGTTGAAGCCCGTTTCCCATTACATAATTTTTGTTTACTTACTATAATCAGTCATGCTGGTTGTGTCCCCCCAGCTTTGAAAGTCAAAACTACATCCATGCTTTAGTACACATGAAGTCAGGTTTAAGTTATTTTATTTTTCACAAAAAACTAAAACAATCCACATGTGGTACACAAGTATAACAGTTACTGATTTCTTTTTATGTGTTTTTTCCTAAATATTTTTCATAATTTACTATTTCTAACAAAGTTAAGGAAGAATAAAGTTGTGCTTTGATCGATGCAGTCTCTAAGTGCTTTTCTCTTGCACATGATTTCCCTTCTTGTTGAACGGGAGCATTTTTCTTCAACACGTAAAACCTACCCCTGGTTGACCCCCTGCATAAGTGCAGCCAACTTGTTTTTAATGAATGATCTTGTTATTTTTAACTTTATTTAAAATTCCCCCTTGTGCATGCAAATTAAAGAAAATCCAATAGAAGGGTGTGTTTGAAACCTTAGAATGGTAGAAGTTAGACCTACCCTTTATGCAATGATTTTAATACTCACCTTTCCTCAAGAACGGAGACTTGTCATTGTTCATGTACTCCTTCGACACCAGACTGAAGTTGGAAAGGGGGTTGGTCTTCATTTTCTTGAAAGAACAACACTTTGCTATATTCTGGATGACCTCTTCACTCAGATTACAGCACAGAAAGTCTGAAATACGCCTGATAGATGCAGGCAGGTCCTGGAAGATAGATAAACGCTCTTTATCGACGGCCATGGAAAATGTAAAGCCTGATTTATACTTCTCATATTTTACATGTTAATGTCTCCTGATTTACATGTTTTTATTGTGTTATTATATATTATACCTTCTCAACCTTCTAAGAGTAGTGTCTGCTCCGAGACTGGGAGATGGGTTCTAATCCCAATGGGGTCCTACCAAAGACTTTAAAAACGGGACCCAACGCCTCCCTGCTTGACATTCAGGGTTAAAGGGTTGAATTGGGGGGTTAAACCACCAAATAGTTCCTGAGCAGGGCCACAGCTGCAGCTCACCGCTCCCACGGGGATGAATTTCACCCATGGGACTTTGACTTTAACCTCATACTATATTGTGATTAATGGGCTGAACCTTGATATGAAGAAAATTGTAAATTGAACTGAAATGTCTCCTGGGAAAATCGCAATAGAATATTTTCCTAAAATCACTGTGTTGGACAAATGAACGTAACACAGAAGAAAAAGCACCCCCAGGCTGTCTCCAGATCTTCTGAGTTCAGGGACTCTGTGTAAATGAATGCTAACTTAGCTTGGTCAAAAAAACAAAATTCTACTTAGTTTTTTCCAGGTGTTACATTGTATTGATTTCCACAGTTCTCACCTTAATTATAATAATGAATTGGATTTATGTAGTGCTTTTCAATGCACTCAAAGCGCTTTCCATTATTCACGCACTCTCTCATTCCCACAATGCCGGTGATGGTAAGCTACTATGTAGCCACAGCTGACAGAGGCGAAGCTGCCATCTGTGCCATCGGCCTCTCTGACCATCGCCAACACAGGCAAGTTGGGTGAAGTGTCTTGCTCGGTGACACAACAGCATAACACCCCTGACAGATCTGGGATCAATCCTCCGATCATGAGGCAACCCGCTCTTCCTCCGGAGCTACTGCTGCTCTAACCGTACTGCTGCATGTTTAAATATTTATTTTTCTAGGACAATATTTTGTCCACATTCATAATCCGTCCAACAAGCTCAGATAAACATTAACACATGACAGAAGAAACCATTTAATTATTTGCCTTAAAATGCATTGAAACAGAGAAACACTGTGAATAAATCAGTACTTCTGAAGGAACTAGTTGTACCCATAACAGTTTGTTCCTGTTCATGAACATGAACTTCAATAACTAATCAACGAGGAGTTTGAAAAAAGAGTTTGGGTAACGTGTTGGTCTGGAACATCTGTGTGTGTGGGAAGAAAAGCATCAGTAGCCCTTTTTAAAAGATACACCATGTCTGCAAATCTGTGTAATATTACTGCAATGGTGTGTTTTATAAATGTGCCATGTCGGCATGGCATCATGGGCATTTTGTGGCATTTGTGACCGCCACGCTTGGTAGTAGTATTACCGCAACGCTGGACTTGTGAATTGCGAATAATTACATTATTTAATTGGTGTAATTCTATGCAGAAAAGACCAATTTGTTAACAAAATAAAAAAAAACTAATAAAAATATATTTTTTCGTTTTATTCAAATTTTTCTTTCATATATATGGTCTAGTTGGCCTTGTCTCGGGTGCCTCTGATCTTGGTAAAGTCTTGATCTCGAGTAGTGTGGTCTTGACTACAACACTAGCAGCTTGTTAAAAAACGTAATGAGCACGGCTTCGGCAGCACAGAGACCACCCCCATACCCCCTTCATACCTCCATCTCATAATCTTTTGTAAAAAGGACACGATTGGGCCACAACACCGCCATGGCCTGACTACTTACAAATGGCCTAAGGCTCCTTGATGCCACCATTGTTTTGTAAAAACGGCCAGAGATGACCCAAGAGAATCAGCTGTTGCTCCACACCAATCTGGAGAAGGGGTTGGGATAATTTCCAAACAGTTTAGAATGAATTATTCTGAGGTGAGAAGGATTATTCATAACTGGAAAACGTAACTTTTAAGAGTGAGTCACCAAGCCTTGCAAAAGTAGATTCATATCGGACCATGGTCAAAGACCTCACAAGCATGACTTGTTTCTTAACGATTCCCCACATAAAGTACATTTCCTGCCAGATTAGCACAGCATCATGGCTTCCCCAACAAGACTTCAAGACTAGAGAGTATAGATGTTTACCCATAATGCATGAGAGACACCTCCTACCAGCTGTCGTCAGCACAGTGATGATCTGAGCTTACCTTGCACTCTTAGACTTGTGTTTTCTTAACTCTTATCTGTGGTTGGCAACAGGTTTCTGAGTAATTTCTGTTATGAAACCATATGATGGTGCACAACTTCCTGCCAGTGAGCTGATTCTAATGATGATGCTGTACGTAAAAAGTGGAAGTGGCTAAAGTCATGAAACACTCATGTGCTGCCTTCCTCTTACAGTTAAACAAGCATTATGTCGACTTCGCTGAACATCAGCAAAACACTCATCTACTTTAGTTTTATATTTCTGCAAAGGGCTTCATTAACTTCTGTTGTTTTAAATAATTGTTGAAAAGGTAAACCGGGTAGTTAAAATTGCGATCTCCCTCACTGATTTACTTTGCACAACTTAAAACCAGCTGCTTCAGGTTACTAGAACCAACAACTTGGTTGTGGCCCTAAAGTTAGTTTTTCATGTTCATTGCTACAAATAATCTGACTGAAATATGAGTAGGCAAGGCGGCATTACTGTATTACCGTATGTTAAATAATGGCAATGCTGTCAGTTCCAATACTGTCATGAAAAAAAAAAAGACACAAGGAATACAAAATAACTGAAAAGATGTATAAAAGTATAAAACAGAAGTGTGGCTGAATTTTCTGTTTTACTTAAATAGTTCAAAATGTTTTGTCCAAATTTTAGAGACGTTCCATAAAGTTAATGAACGTGCTGTCATCACGGGACAGTGGCGAGACGGCGCGCCGAGAGAAAAATGGCAGCTCGCGCACCAGCTGACTTCGTGTCTAAAAAGAACACATCATCTGCAGTTTGAGAGTATTTCAGGTTCGAAGTAAACTTAAGAGTCAGTAAACACTGGTGGTAAAATGTAGAGGAAGCTAGACGGTAACACAACCGGTGCAGTTAAATAAATAACACAAAATCAGGAACATGTTTCTGATTTGCATTAGCTGGAAAGTTTCAGTGCTGGTTGTTCGAAGAGGAAAAGTAGGAGGATGTTTGTGTGAAGGGAAAGATGGTCGGGTTAAATAAATCACTACAACCGTCATGAAAAAGGCCCAGCAGAGGATGTACTTCCTGAGGCTGATGAAGAAACTCAACCTATCAGTACAGTCGATGAAGCAGTTCTACACCTCAGTCGAGTCCATCCTCACCTCTTCAATCACCGTGTGGTATGCTGGAGCTACCACCAGAGGCTGCAGCGGGTTGTACGCTCTACTGAGAAGGTCATTGGCTGCAAACTCGTCTCCATACAGAACCTGTACACCTCCAAGACATTGAGGGATGCAGGTCGGATAACAGCAGACCCGTGTCATCCTAGGCAGTCTTTTGGACTCACTCCCATTTGGCAGGAGGCTCAGATCCATTCAGACCAGAAAATCTTGCCATAAGAACAGTTCCTCCCCCTCTGCTGTCGGACTCATGAATAACAATCCTAAGGCTGCCCACTCCAGGTGTCTGGTTCCAGTCACAAGACCTGGTGTTGTATTTGTATCTGAACGGATCTGTTCTGATTAGTACCTACACCGTAGCCATTTCTCTAAGTATTGCCACTTTATATTATTATTTTATCATGATTACATTCTTACTTCCTTTATTTATTCCTTTATTTTTATCTTTCTTTCTTTCTTTCTTTCTTTTTTGCACCAAGTTCCGCAGCAATTTCTCAATGTTGTGATTCTGACACGTTTGGCAATTAAACCCTTCTGATTGTGAGCTTAAGGAAGAATTTATAAATTAGATGATGCCAGTGCTAAGATCTGTGTAGATAAATGGTGGTAATGACAAACTGGTTTATGAACATTAGTGCTTCATAGAAAATCCTCGACCGTCTGTTCAAACCATTGACATCCAGTTTTAAACAAAGTAAAGAAACACAACAAGGAAGTCCATGTTAAACACTTCTGCCCAGCTAGTTCCATATCCACACGCGTCACATCTCATTATATTTAAAGTTTTCACCACACACGGCGACATGTATTGTCAAGGGAGCGCGTTTGTCATGTCCATGTCAAATAAAACAGATCCCAATACATTGTTACTTCCTTTCATTCATCTTCCTTCTCCAACCCCCATAAATGCCTCCATGTCCGTCTACGGCAAGCCTGAAGGACAATAGATATCAATAACAACACAACCACAGACACTGAATTCAATTCAATAAATGACGTCTGTGAACACAACAGTCTCCGGATGGTTCTTCTGGGTTTTCAGACTCAAAAGTTGCTACCACACGTACTGTGAGCAGTCAGGTTGCATCTGAGCATTGGGTCGTACAGTGTGAGAACGTGACGTGTGAGCTTTGCTCTGCGTGGAAGTCGTGCAATTTGAGATGGAGTAGAATGCTATGAGTCAAAAAATTGCAGAGTGTACGTCCAGCAGCTGAACCGGAGCACGTAGCTGACAGAGGAAACGGCGACGGGTCGAGTGATGACAGAAAAAGACAAGAAAAAGAGATAAAGCTTCCATAACCCCTGGATTACTGTGAATATGGTAGGAATGAGGAAAGCCCAGTAGCGTCTGGTGAAGAAACTGCGTGGCGAAGCTAATTTGCAAATAGATTTCCTTTCTCAGTTCAGTAAAAGATTAAAACGAACTGTTGGAAAATGACAACAGCACCACAGTAATAAATTATATTGAGTTTAGGGTGATCAGCAGGTTGTGTGTGTGTGTGTGTGTGCGTTCGTGCGTGCATGCGTGTGTGTGTGTGTGTGACAGAAAATAATCGAGGAACACTGTGTTAAAGGCTCTACGGTTTACCTGTTTACTAAGTAAAGCTTTATTTCCGAGTGGAGACAACAGATGCAGTTTTTAAGTGACAATAAAATGCAATATTCACCTGAACCATGTCCTCATATGTGATGAACATTATTCTGTCTCCCAGCTCGGCGCGTCTCCAGCTCTTCACATGATCCGTCCATTTCCCAAACAGCACTGCAAACAAAACAGTATCTGGTTGTTCCGGGAATAAAAAAGCAGGCCGGTGGACAAAGATTACTCATTATCAACAAAATCCTGAAATAACTTGTGCTTGGCCTCTCCCCACAAAAAATGTATTCACTTTAATTAGGATGTATTTAAAATCTAGAATGTGACCTCCGACCTCTGCCTTCTAGGAATTTGTCAATAAACTCATCAAAAGTCCCGGGATCATCGAGGAAAGTGGCCATCTGGTGGAAGTAATATGAAGACACCAGGATATCTTTTGGGTTCCTCATGACGTAGATCACCTACAACGGACAAAGTTGAAAACATTTACCCCGTCTTTATCAAACATTAAAACATGTTGATATCTGGTAACGTTTCCAGGTATTACCTTGGCCTTGGAGGTGTGGAAGGATGGGGGCATGAGGTTGAAGGGGAAATGTGTAACCAGTGCACGTGGAGATTTCAGCTGATCCACAATCTGTTCCAGTCTTTTCTCTTCCAGCCATGGGACCCGGTCCCAGTTTGGAATTGTATTGATTGGTGTCAGATCTCCACCATTCAGCACCAGTGGGAGGATCTCCTGCATCCAGATTGTACCTGCAAAGAAAAACAAGGAATTAAAGAGCTGTAGAGGAGTGGTGGAAGTCCTGATTCCCTGTATTAACCATTTAACATGATAAAGCCATGTTGCTTCCAGCTCAACTCTCTCTTCACCACAACAGACCGGTACAACACCCCCATCACCGCAGACGCAGCACCAATCCGCCTGTCGATCTCCCGATCCATCTTCCCCTCACTCTTGAACAAGACTCCGAGATACTTGAACTCCTCCACCTGAGGCGGGACCTCAACCCTGACCTGGAGAAGGCATTCTATCATTTTACATCTCAAAAACCATGGTCTCGGGTTTAGAGAAGCCGCTTCACACTTGGCTGTGAACCGCTCCAGCTGGAGATCATTCTGATGAATCCAACAGGACCACATCATCTTCAAAAAGCAGAGACCTGATCGTCCCCAAAACGGACCTCCTCAACACCTTGCTGCTCCTAGAAATCCCATCTAATAAACTAAATAAGAATGAACCAGTTCACGTTCTTACATCTTTACATCTATAGCGGCATTAGACCTCCTGATATGTTCTCTTTAATCAGAAACAGCAACAGTGTTCCCGGAAAACGTAAGCCTCATGTATGTTTAATTAATCTAGAGTATCAGACACATTGTTTATATCCTATTGTTAACGGTATTATTAACAATTTCAATCAGCATTTGATGTTATTTACCACACAAATCAGAAATTAAGGAGGATAATTCATTAAAATTATTATTATTATTGTTATTATTAGTTTAAATTGAAACTTCTTCCATGTACATTGGAAGGCAGTACTTTTACATGGTATTGATTTTTTTAAAACATTAAATGATGTTTTTTGCTTCTGTTCATGGTTTCAATCATCAGACAAAAGAACTGACCTTAAGCCAGCTGATGCTGTCCGCAGTTTAATTTAAGTTTATTTGTAATGGGGCAGTGCTTATTAATGAACACACACACACACACACACACACACACACACACACACACACACACACACACACACACACACACACACACACACACACCGTTTCCATCTCCAGTACCCTGGGAGGTTTATGAAGCCACACATAAACAAGACAAATAAAATAGCAGCTTATCACGCCTGATATTTATTTTATGCATAAAGCTCTGACTTGGTTTATTGTGATTGGTCGTTGGAACAGAACATATTCTCATCAGGGAGACGGAGAGAAATGAACCATCTTTATTATGTTGACTGAACTTTTTAAGCCAAGCAGAAAAGGCTACTATGGAAACACTGTTTTTAAAACACTGGTGAATAAAGCAGAACCCCCTCGTAATATTTTTAACATTTAGTTTTCCGAGGGAAGATCGTTTCACTGACCTGACTTCGGATATGTGACAGCCAAGATGTCATCGTCTTTAACCTTGAATTCACGAGCAAACTTTAAACTTTCTACAGAGTGGGTCTCCTTGGGATACAGAAGTCCTCCAAGCAGCAGGTTCTTCTCCTCGGTGGATGACATTACGTCCCGAAAACCGGACAGAGACGAATAATGCCGAGGATGGCGTGGCTCCGCTCCCTGCTTTTTCTGACGCGGAAAACGTCATGCAACAAGAACACACCCGTGGGGGATGTGGGGGTTTCAACACCCACAATTTTCTTATTGAGATCGTTCAACCAACACCCACACTTTTCCAGCCGTTTTGCTCACCTCCACACCAGTCTGGTTTCTCTCACTCTGTTTGCCTCATCTCCTTCTTCCCCTCCCTCTTCTGTTTCTCTGACAGCCGATGTCGGGTTTCAAGGAGAGCAGGAGAGGGAGGGAAGGAAGAGCTCGACTGAATTCATAATTTTCCATCATGACCATCGATCGTGACAGCTGTACAAAGTCTGAGTTTGAAAAAGTGAAGAACAACAATTTGCACAGGCGCGGCGCCAGGTTTTCATTTTCTGGACGGGCCTTAATAAGCAGTGACTTAAGTGAAGCAGGCAGGTCGCGCTAGAAATTTTCGTTTAAAAAGACGTCATAAATGTTTTCCCCCATCATTTTTATTTCTAAAATATAAAGTAAAAACTCACAATTTAATTTTCATTCATTTTTCATTAATATTTAGTCTACACCCGTGCATTCAGTGGACCGGCACCAGTGGCGTGTCTAGATCTAATAAAAGGGGGTGGCCCAGGTGAGGCACAACTTTGTGCATGGGTGGCACCAATGGTTATGCTTTTTTTTTTGTTCCACCCCCAAGCCTTTTGTGGACAATGAAAAACCTATTTAAAGGTAAATTAGTGTGGTGGCACCTGGGGTGGCCAATCAGATTCCAAGGGTGGCATGTGCTATCCCAGGCCACTCCCTGGACATGCCCCTGCCGGCACCAGAATGCATTACCTGCACTTCGTACATGCACACTGGTAGTTTTTACGGTTATTCATGGGGCAAAATCTCTGACATTTTTGAATAAATAAATAAATAAATAATCCATCTTCCAGTAAAAGCAAAGCATCCAGCCCACCTCTCCAAATGCGTAAAATGTGCATCACAGCCGCCAGGCGCGCCGCGGAGTATCCCCTGGCTGCCTCCCAGAGATTGGGGCGGGGCTAAATGTGGGCGGGATCAAACGTTTAGTCAGGGGTAGTTGGAGTCGCGCACACCGTCAGCTACATCAGCTCAGACAGCTCTGTGAAGCGGACCCCCGTCATGACATAGCGTGTCCTGGAGCGAGATGACGTACAATCTGACTCACAGAAATCTTGCGCCGTGCAGTGTTCTCACATTGTGGCATGAACAATCTTGTGCGACGGCCACAAATCGCACAATGTGATCGGGGCTTGAGCTAAGAACGGATTTGTTTTTTGCCATAAAAACACGCTAGATGTTACCTAGTAAACTAAACGTTTTTAATAAGTGACAGCATCCTGAAAACATTTTTTGGTGGGGCTATGTGTAGAATTTTTTTTCCATTTTAAGTATTTCAGTGAACAGTTGGAAAATTATTACAATTCCCAAACATTTTACAGAAAAATTCAAGTATCAAATTTACAGATAAATTAGACTATAATAATACTCAAGTAAATACAATGTTTACCGTGTGACTTTCTATCAAATATAGGAGCAAATGCAGTCTATTATTTTCATTTTGGGTTTTATTTGCATTTTAATATTATTATTATGATGATGATGAAGGTGATTATGATTATTATGATTATTATTATTATTTGACATTAGATGAGTTTTTAGTCCCAACAATAATCAAGCTCCTTTAAACACCAGTGATCTGATTGTTCCAGATGTACCTAACAGAGAACGTCACTCTCAGACTCCAGATTTACTCGTGGTTCCTAGAATATCTTAAAAATAGGATGGGAGGCAGATCTTTAGTGATCAGGCTCCTCTGCTATGCAAACAGCTTCCAGCTATAGTCCTCGTATGACTAGGCTTAAAACTTTTTTGTTCGATAAAGTACTCATGGTAAATTTGGAATGATTTTAGACTAGATGTTGGACAAGCGAGGGGTAGAGGGAAATGTGTTCTGGGGAATACAGTCCATAAAGACGGTTTTCCCCTGACCCTGCTTCACACACGTGTCCTTCTTAAAAGCTTATCCTGAGTTATCTCTGTAGTTATGCTGCTATATGCTTAGACTGCTGGAGGACATACTGACCATTTCCCACACTCTACTACTTTATTCTACCATTGCTTGCACTATTTACTGTTTTTTCAGCTGTTAACTTTATGTTTTCTCTACGTTTTTCGCCCCAGGTAAATGCTGATGCTGAGCTGAATAGCTACATGGTACAAATTTGATGCCACTGGATTGCTACAAGCCACAGAACACCAAAATGTGATCACTAAAGCTAAAAGGAACAGGAAAAATGAACTTAACACAGTAACCAGTAGTTTATTTTAGGACGTAAAAGAAGATTAAAAAGAAAAAGCCACTTGAGACGGTGTTAAAAAGTGACAGTAAGTCTGAGGACAAACTCACAGTACCTGACTTGGGATAAGTCACAGCAAACACATCAGTGTCGTCCACAGAGAAGTTCTGAGCGTACTCCAGGCTCTCCTTGCTGTGTGCATCAGGAGGCAACAGTAGGCCATGATACTGGATGTAGTTTGGAGATGACATGAGCATCGCTCCTAAAACCTGTAGCTGACACTTTGACTGTTCTTGTCCAGAAATGTGGTTGACACAGCCCTCTGTCACTGAAAATGTCTTCATCTGCAGCTCAAATTGGAACACCCTCTCTTATCAATTGTGCATTTCTCGGATTGGTAGCTGTGTAATGCAAGTCACCAGTTGTTGACTGAGTAAAAGGTTGTGACAAAAAAGTGGCGCCCTCAAGGGGGAATGCTTTTTTTATGAGCGCTTTTGTAAATTCAGCAATAGGTGAACTCATCTGTTTTAACTGCTAGAATAAAACTCAAATAACTGGAATGTTTTAGTTTCTCAAATTTCAGGTTAATGTGTTGAATTTTTTTTATTTATAATGACTAAGAATGAAGCATCATTCATTGCTCAGCTAAGAGCTAGTTAGTTACAAGGACCAACCCCCCCAAACTGAGGGAAAAACTGAAGACCTGATAGTTAAGGCTGGTTTGCAAGAACTGACTCTTTGTTTTGCTCAGGATCCTATGAAGTAAAATCTAGGCGTTAACGTCATTAATCAGACTTAATTTGTAATGCTCTGAAGTTTGTTGGCCAGACTCGTTTATCCCCTAGATTGGATCAATGTCTTAATCTTGATGGACAAAATGTGTCACTGGATTGAACATTTAGACAGTACTATCGGACCCAGAGTAGTTTGAGGCAGTTTTAATGTTTTTCAATCTGTAAACTGCATATTGTGACAGAGTTGAGACTACTGAGTCTTTCTTGCTGAAATGCATGCTGAAGTGTGCAAGTGTAGCCTTGTGAGGAACAAGAACTGACAAGCAGCTATATGGGAGAATAGTGTGTGTGTGTGTGTGTGTGTGTGTGTGTGTGTGTGTGTGTGTGTGTGTGTGTGTGTGTGTGTGTGTGTGTGTGTGTGTGTGTGTGTGTGTCTGCACATTACGCAACAGAACGCCCATTGTGGTTTTTGAACAATGAGGGCTCTGTTGAACTACTGGTACTGCAAACCAGACCAGCAGAAAATAAGGCTTATAGGGGAAATCACCCTCGGTAGTACCTTTAGGACACACATTTATGACATTTGAGACCCATGACACCTTTCATTCGAGAGTGATGGACAGAAAGTATGCTGGAGTGTTTGTTACACCCTCAGACTAGATGGTAAATAGCCTGTATTTGTATAAAGCCTTCTTAGGGTTCTAGAACTCCCCAAGGTGCTTTACAACACAATCAGTCAATCACACATTCACATGCTGGTGGGGATGAGCTATGATGTAGCCACAGCTGCCCTGGGCACACTGACAGAGGCGAGCCCTGCCGACCACCAGCAGCAAGCAAGACGGGTTAAGTGTCTTACCCAAGGACACGATAGCAGCATACCTCCTGAGCTCCTGCTAAGCTCTTGCTGTTCCATTGTGGTAGTAAACATTTTATGTAAGGATATCCAAAAACTGCCTGATTTGATATATATCCAATCAATCAATCAATCAATCAATCAATCAATCAATCAATCAATCAATCAATCAATCAATCATCAATCAATCAATCAATCAATCAATCAATCTTATTTGTAGAGCACCTTCCACAACGTTATCAGAAGCCCAAAGTGCTGAACAGCATCATCATAAAAACATGCCCAGTACCTGGGCATAAAAGCAAGATAAAAACATAAGATCATAAAATAACAAGCAAGCAATATTACAAATACAGAGAGATAACGGAATAAGACTAATCAATGAAAAACAAATGGTGGACAAAATAAGATCAAGCATCCTGATCAAAAAGAAGAAGTATTTAAAATCCTTTAAAATAAAAAGGTGGAGATTTTGACATTTATAGGGCAGATTCGATATGTGTTACAGATATCTATGAATCTGTTGCTCCAAGTTAATTTAAATATTCCAGATATCCATAATAACATTCTTACTGTCCACAATAAACACTTAGCATTGTAAATGTAATTGTTCTTAGGACAAATGATATCATATCTAGTTTGCCTAATGAATAAACATCCAGAGAGCCTAGCTGATTAATAAAACTGACTAGCCACTAACTCCACTAAACCCTGTCCTGTGGGGACATTTTTACTTACTTTATGCTTATTTGTGAGACATCTCTTTGTGTCCATGTCTGTGGGGGAATCAGACTTGGGGACAACTTATTGTTGGATAGTGACTTCTCCTACTCTAGCTTCAACAAGCCATTGCTAAAACTGCAGTGCAGGCTTGTTTTTTTTAGTTCAACTTTATTTGTGTTAAGTCAAGTATTCTTTATTCTGGACTTGTAGTCCAATTCACAGAAGTAGAAAAAACATTGTACAGGTAAGATAAAATGAAATGGGCACAATATGACACACTAAGGCACAGGAGACAAAATAATCATGAAAAACACAAACAAGAGACAATAATAACAATAGTGTACAAATAAAGTATAAATTATTGTAAATCCCTCATTTGAAAAAGATAAAGACGGTTATACCAGTGTTTCCACGTCTTTGACTGGTAAGATATTGCACTGACACAGGTATTGGTTAGGTTTTAAACAATCACATTTTTAGAAGTTTTCAGCCTACAAATACATGTATAAATGGAATTTCTTAAGACAGCCTGTATGGCGCTCACTGTCACAACCTGTCCTGTCTCCCCACTCTGTTCAGT